TAGTATATATTCTGTATATTCGTGGTTTTTCCTAATAAACCTGATGAAGACTGGTATTGGCCAGTCGAAATATTGTATACCTCAGCATTTTTCGCGTTGTTTTATCAGTCTTTCCATTAGTCTTTTTTACTTTAATTCTATTTTCAAAATATACCGTTAAAATCAGAAAATAAAGCGACCCGATCAAAGAGGGCAACTGAAATCGGATCCCTAGCTCTGTCTCAGGTTGCGTTCGATTCGGAAATCTGGATTTAGATTGTGAAATCTGGATTTAGATTGTGAAATCTGGATTTAGATTGTGAAATCTGGATTTAGATTGTGAAATCTGGATTTAGATTGTGAAATCTGGATTTCGGAGTTTGCAATCGAACGCGAAATCCGAAAACGGATTGCCTCCGAGAAATCCGTCCTCAGGGTGGATTTCAATTAAGAAATCCAAATCCGGATTTCATGGATTTTCTTTTTCCGCGTGCACACGGAGATGCCTTCCACAAATTAACACCGTCCTCGAGTATGGATCATGCAATTTCTTTTCAAGAGAAAGCAATGTACGGTCTTGGAACAAGAGCGATATCTAATTTTTGTAGTAGTTTTCTTTTCCAATAAATAATTAGATACCCCTTTGGCTTCCTTGTCTGTCTTGGTAAAGAATTTTTTTGAAGTGGTTTGGCATTTTGTGGTCCTGTGCTTTAAAGTTCTTCCCTGTGCCTATAAAGGCGCTAGCTCCTCTACATTCCTCCAATATTTTCCCATACATAAAGCGACGCCAAGACTACATGTCTATTATCGGCTTCAGTTCTCAGTGGTTTCACTAATCTGGGCTAGTAATAATGAAAAGTTATGACCTGGAATTTTGGATTCGTATGAAAAAAAAAAGGCAAATATTTGCTTAAGCGGGGCAGTAAATATACTAATTGTATATTGCTGGAACAAGGACTGCTGTTCTCTAGGGGAAAGGCCCTCCTCTCTTTGATGCCAACAGTATAACTAAAGAAACCACAAGTCCAAAGATATAAAAACAAGCATTTTTCTTTATTTACAAACAGTTCACAATATCACACAAAAGTGGCTTAACATAGAAACGTCCTTTCGGCAAAACGTTTAATTTCCCGTGCATTTATCTGGTGATTGCTACCATTTTTGTAATCTGCCACAATAATTGGCCTTCCTCTTTCTAAGTTGTTTTGGTCGCCATGGTTTCGGTTCAGCGGCTCTTTGGCGTGCAAGTTCTTCTTGACGTAATCGTTCCCGCCGCTCTTCCTCCATTTGGCGTTGATTTTCACGATACAATCTGTAAATCGAAAACGAACCACATTTATTTCAAAAGAGCGTCGATCAGGGGCGAAAATTGAATGCTGGGGTGTTTCTTGATGTCGCGGAAGTTAAATGTTTTGTTGTTTAGTAGTACAATAGACCATTTCCCAGTTCCCCCGGGCCTCTGTATTAAAACGAGGTTAAGTGCTCAGCCTTTGATATGGATATTTTTGAAAACGGAGATTTTTTCCCCTCAGTTTGCAAAAAAATTCGCGTCCAAACGTAGCATATTCGAATCCTTTTCGCCCGTCCACACGAATTAAAACGCCAAAACGATAGAAATACGACAGCATCTCTCACAGAGCGTGCGTAATGCTTGTAGTATATGATGCATGACATCATCGTATTCGAAAACCTCCATTTTCGTCCGCCCAAGCGTAAACAAAAAGCCGGCGTTTTGAAAAATCTCCACTCTGGAGAGCGTTTTTGAAAAGCTGCGTTGTCGACGACCTTTTTCACCGGATACGTGTGGACGGTAGGCCAACCGGAGGAAAAATCTCCGTTTTCAGTCAGAAAAGTTTACGCGTGGGTGGGGCCTTAATTACGTTTTAAGGTTACACCACATCTGTAACTGCAAAAGGAGAGTGTTGTCGACCTTAACTTAAGCTCGATACACGTTGCGCCGTCTGAATCAGATGTCGCGCAAGTGTCGCTCCAAAGTCGAACTTATCCAAGTAGGTTCGGCACATGAAAATTGCGGCGTCTAAACCAGGCCTAAGTCGACGAGGGAATGGGTAAATAAAATAAACTTGTTGAGTTTTCAACTAAAAAACTTTTCCAAATTCCTGCTTAGGTGATCAGCGCGCGAAAACCAAAACATTTTGACGTAACAACCATGTTTACATACTCTCATGCAAACACGCCTCTCGGCCAATCGGAGCGAGTGTTCTATGTTAGATATTTAATAAAAATGTTCAAAGAACCCAACTGACCTGCTGACCGCATAAAGTAGTTGTCCTTGAAAAAACGCCCAAAAAATTGGGCGTGGTCACGGTATTTTTGTGGAGTCTTCACTTCATTGGTCTGGTAACCTTTTCCACAAGTATAGTATTCTACCAGCCATAAAAAGGCTGTGTTGGACCATTGTGTTCAAAGTTGTCACAGTCCACATAGACCTATGTAAAAGATCTACCGTGTTTTCTATTTGGCACTGAATTTTGTATTTTTATTTTAGTGCAAAACTCAAAAGTCTCGACTGACCTTGGTTCGTAGCCTCTCAATATAAAGCTATAGTTCTGCTTTAGGAGAAACCGGGCCAGGAAGTAGAAATTTGGTGCGGTATTATTGCTTAAAAAACGGGAAATTCAACACGTATTCTCTTACCTCCATTTTCGAATCAACAGTCGAATAAAACGTTTGATGATGTTTATAATCAAAGGAATGGCGAGGTACAAGGCCCTACAGCAATATTCAGTCACCAAGATCATAGTCATCATATCAAACGTGTCCTGCAAGGTCCAGTTAATCATCTTGGTAAGGAATTTTGTCAAATAAACTGAAAAGAGATTGAGCGATAGTACGTAAACCTGAAGGAACAAGCGCAGACACAAACTTCCTTATATTTCTACACTAACTCCGTGAAGAGAGTTAAGAAACATCAATTAATTGCAAGGATCAAACCGGTTATATTGAATGTGACAATCAAAACTGTTCATTTTTTTCTTCGGATTAAGCGTCGTTATCTCAAAAACGTTTCTGCTGTTATATAACAGCTTTTTGGAAGTATTTTATTATGAGCAAAAATAATTGCGTAATTAAGAAACGACAAACAAAAAAACAAAGCAAAGATTAATCTGTCACTTTCAAATCCAGTTTCGACTCACAAAATGATCAATCAATACATATTTTCAAACTAGAAGAAATATGCTGGGAGAGATTTAAATTTCTTTTTGGATTAGACCTACAATCGTAGGTTGTTGCTGTTCTATGCCTCTGGGCGTAAAAAGAATGAATGCAATGATTAAAGGCATCTGAGTACTTACGATTCGCTATATTCCAAGCCTTTTCCTGAGTTTCATTTGATCTGATCCAGCCTACAAACTCCACCCCCTTGATCCACAGCTTTGTAGGGAAAGACTCTGATTCAGCTTGGCGTCTGGCAGCTTTTTTTGTGCAACATAGTGTTTCCTAATTCGAGAAAGAGAAGGATATTCGATTCACTTTCAAACTATTATTACCTTAATCATATTCTTCCTTGAGGAAAAGTTACTTTTAGTGAAATGCATAGAAACACAGAACAATCTCGAAACAGGGCAGAAGGCGGGGTTGTAATTCTAACAATATATTACACCTCACGTCCAAATTGTCTTGACCAGCATGGCTAATTAAATAGGAGTCATTTCTGTCGTTGCAAATCTCGATATGTCGGTAGAACCGAAGTAGCTTTGATCAGATCGAGCCACAACAATAACAGCAACAAATAATAAAAAAATCAAACTTACGGGGGAATTTTTCTCTCGATTAAAATTTTTGAAGTTACAGTACAAAGGTTTTTTTTAACTTGTTTTACAGCATCCCAAATTTGAACCTACAATTTATTAAAGGAAAAGCGTATAGGAATTCTCGTATATATCCTCAGGGCAATGCAATATAACAAACGACAAGAAAAAAACTTACCGGGCCAGTTTGATTTATCTCTGTCATACATATCTCAAACACGCTGCCTGGTACAGCTGTCAATCGCTGATGCTGTGGTCGTTTTGCCGTTTGCCGGGGAACACTGCTGGGCTTACGAAAGCCAACAGATACCAAAACTCTGTTCCAAAACCTTACAATGAACCAGCGCGCGTCTACTGATACACTAGTGTTCTTCGGACAATATTCCTTCATCGAAAGAGAAAAACACGATTATAAAGAAATTCAAAAGGAAATTCAAAACAAGACAAAATATGTTGGAGTAAAATAAATTCTGCTCAACGAGAAAAAAGTAAAAGAAACAGAGAGAAGACAATCATATTATAGTCTCAATTTCAAATCTTTCAGTTGCTGTTACCACAATCATATAGAATCTTTCAGTTCATCTTTATCTCTGTCTGTTCTATAATTACCTGTTGATTATATAACTTTAGTCGTGCAGAAGGCCTCACCTTCCTACACAGCCCCCCCTTCAGTGTTTTGTGTTACCGGTTGAATATTTGATTTCGGCTCCGAAAAGTTAACGGGACTTTTGAGTAACGGGCCAATGCGCCGAAAGTGCACGCGCAAGCGCTTGTGGGATTGGGGCAATATAATCAATGCAGCTGGCAGAAGGAAACACAGGGATTTATTGTGGTGCTTAATTCGGGACTATCGACATGAAGCTCTATCTTTTGGCCAGATTGGGTCTTACATTCATTACAGAACCGAAATCCTAGCAATAAAAAATCCCAATACGTTTCTAGAAAAGAGAGAGTATCAGAGCTGTATCTAGACTACTACTGGTAAAGGTCAAACTCAACACGCGGAGAACTGACCGTTACATACCAAAGATAATACTTTCATTATCGCTTACCGTGCCACTTTGATTCAAACCAGTGTTGTAAAAAGCATGCGTCGACTCGTCTTTGACCAGTTTGGTCATCCACCTACTCCGCGATTTCTTGGCTGTTGAACCTCGCAGGAATGTAATATCTTGGTACGGGGTAGTCAGGGAAGGTAAAACGTTAGTACGCTGGCCAAGCTTTTCAAGTTCCTTTATGCACACTCCACTGTGATCATTTTTTAACCACGATCCACTACTCTGAGAGTGATTTCCATTTAGCAGAGTAGACTGAAGTTCATCCAGAAGGGCAAAGGTTCCAATCTCAGTGTCCTTCTGCTGCAATGCAAGACCGTTTGCCTTGGGATGAGTTTCCTCAGTAGAAGACGTTCCCAATGCAGTAGACTGAATTTCATCTTCATCACCGTCAAGGCTCGTAACGGTACCATGGTATTCAGGAACTGTTTTATGTGAAGCCGTACCATAGTATCCCATAACGCCAAGAAACGTAATGTCTCTGTTTTCTTGTCGGTTTGATGAACGAATTTCGGGATGCAAACCAAATTTTGGAAGTTCAGATAATTCATTTTCACTGAGTTCTTCACAGTCCGAGTGTCCCATAAATATCACGATTGGTTCATTCACCTCCCTTTCAGCATTGCCAGGCAAAACAGTAGCGTTACGTTCTTTTCCAAAGCTTGTAGCCGGCAGGGTTGTGTTAAATTTTACGTCCTCTGCTGTGACATTCTGAAGAATACATAACAATGGGCAGAATATATCGTTAAGCCCTGATGATAAACTATCCATGTTAAACTTTTGCTTTCACTAAATTAGCCTGCGTGGCAGGTTCCAGTTTAAGGACGAATTTAAGGACGCACACGCCCGCTAGGGCAGTAAACGAGAGTCTCCTCATCGATTGGGAGAAGCTGCTACCGCTATGCGAGCTCAAATGTCCGAAATGTATGGCCATGCACCAGGCTAGTTTTCACTACACACCTACATACCGTTAACTACCGTTTATAAACCGTGGTTATGTACAACTTTGTAAGGGAATTTTAGCTGTCTATGAGGGCTTATAAATGTGGGAGGGGGGAGAGGCGCTTCTTATCGTCGTAAAGATCAAATTCATTTTAACACAAGCTAGAGGGAAGCTTATAACCGGCTTACTTTTTTAAAATTTACAGGTAGATAGTATATCATTGCAACCCGACTTGACTCTTTAGCTACATCTCCAAATCCTACCTACCTGTTATTTTAGTCTTGATTTTAACTCTAGCTGCCCTGATTTCACAATTACATTCTCCATTGTCATTTCTAAACTGCAAATTAGTTTAGCAAAACGGTGTTTATTTTTCGTGAAAAAGCCTCCAGTTTCCTCGTGCAATGGCAGATATCATTTAAAGCTCGAGTTCTCTTCGACATTTTAACTTGAATAGCATGATACATAAAAACGTCAAACTTACGCCGTCTGCCGAGCATATCGAGTCCGATGCAGTAACTGTCCTTCGAGCAAATGCTTCTGAGTTTGTGTCCTTAGGCCAAGCGATACCCATGTGCAGCCACTTTAGCAGTGACCTTACAGCACTTAAGAGACTGTCCCATGCCTTATTTGTGGACTGGTATCTACCAACCATGTCCATTTGTTGTTCCTCGTCCATTTCCGTCTGTAGAAAAGATAAACAAACCATCGACCTATCAGAACGAGAAAACAGCCCAAATTTTGCGTTCCTCAGCGAAACGTGATGCCTGACTCGGAACGAGAGCTAATATTCTGTCAATGCGCAAAACTTCTCAGCCGTCTTTACGTTCTGAGAAACACTAGGGGTACTCCAAAAACGCTTATACGGAGACAGCGGTCCAAACCCTTACCATTTGATACACATATACAGAAAAGGCATCTCTTTCCTATGTGACCTTCTATTGAAAAATGCAGTGCCGCTTTCACGTTGATTGCTAGTTTAGAACACTGCATTCCTTTTAACTTAAATAAATCACTTTTAACTGAATAAATCACTAGACTAGAAAGTTTTCTTTTCTCTTTCACATCCATAAAATACGTCAATTAGCCATATTTGGTCGTTTTAAAGACATTGTTGACAGATTTCTCTATCAGCCTTTCTTGAACTTCAACTAATGAAATCCCTACCCTTTCATACACCTGAAGCCTGAAAAAGGTACCCCTTCTGAGCGGAGCGGAAGCCATTATGGGTCAGTTTTCGCCGGATAAAAAACAGTAACGTTTGCCTCTATTTTCATATTGCACTTTCTTCCTTTGCTATATACTTACTTCATTTGTAAAGGTTTTTCCAGGCAAAAAAGCTGTTGTGAAACTGCTGACTGACTTGCTGACTGAGTTAACCGTCACGGATACAAGCATATCAATCGACGTCAGGTGGATTTCGATCAAAGCGCTCTTTCTTCCAAAGTCTTCAATAACAGTAAAGCGTCGTTGGAACGGTTCATCAGCAACATTGAATTCTGTATTTGAAGGTAATAAAAGAACAGTAAATATTTTATCTCTAATGGTATAAGTGCTATTGCTCATCAATTTGAATCTAAAAGATCCTACGCGTATGGCCACAACTAGATTACACTGATAAACCTATTTAAAAAGCTCTGAAATTAGATAAGTTTATTTAAACTTGCAGGAACAACAAATAATTTAACGGAAATTTTTGACGTTTTAAGAAACTTCTATCGCGCGTACGAGAATCGTTTCCTTAGAAACAAGTAACCAAGGAAACAAAACCACCCAAACAAATAAAGCTTTTTTTCACTGTTTGAAGCCAAGAAGAGAAAATTAGCGACAACCAGATAAATTTGATTCTAAAAGAATTTAACAAGCTTTAATACTTTTAAATGAATAGTTGGCGAAATAGTTTGATAAATTTTAGGCAGAGGCGAAGTTAGTCTGGGAAAAATAACGATTTTCGCGCGTGCCCTGCACTTATGCTATTAGCTTACGCCATGGGGAAAATTAACGCGAAGAGAGTACATGTGAAAATAACAAAAGTTTTACCTTCCTCGTTGACATTTCCTGAAGCAGTGGAAGTTCCTAACACTGTTAGGAGCAAAATAATGTAGATTAAAAACGTTTTCATTTTGTCAAGAATGACTTTTCTCTTTCTCAAGCGCAACACGACTAAACTCGTTTAGCGACGTGGAACGATTAAAAAGCCCGACGTCATAAAAACAAAATAAAACGTTCTTCTGCGCGCGTTTAGTTCATGGAACACTCAGTTAGTGTTACCCTCCAAAACATCACATTGACATCTGATTGCAGCTGTTCATTTTGTTAATCATGGCACGTAAAACTTCATTCGAAGGGCGCTTATCAAGAGTCAGAACTGGCCAGCAGGACCATGGCTGGATCAGTCATTTTGAAAATGAGATAGGCCTCTCTCCAAGAGTTTCGGCTATTTCTTTTGCTCATGGTATTTAGGATTTGACTGATCTGGCTGAATAGCTTTGATAAAAAATGAAATTCTCATTACGAAGGGAATGCCCTGGCCGCTCAGTTCTGACAAATGGAACGCGCCCTAAGGCTACATTTATACCACAGTCGATTTTTTCCCCGGAAGCTTCTGATACTAGATTCCTTTTAGCGTTTACACTCAGATCTAGGGCGCGGGACACTTCCCTATTTGGCGTAAGTGGGTTTATACAGCTAAGGTTCAAAAGCTCTAGGTTTTGAGTCTAATACAGGGTACAAAATTTTACTAAGAGTTCCTGAGCAGAGTGGCTTTTTTTTACCGAAAGCCTTCCCAAAGAATGGGAAGTTACTAAGTTTACTGGACGAGATCATAGATGCAATAGAACTTTGTCACGCGTCGGCCATTTTGTCCCAGGAGATTGAAAAAGCTTTGTATTTGCACAGCTAGCCTCGCGGTGAGAACGAGGCTGGCAGTGCAAATACAAAGCTTTCTCTGAAAAGTACTCTATGAAATTGTTATAATTCTTCTTTCTTTTATTGTGGATAATAGCATTTATTCAGTTGCTATTTAACTGTTTGTCCCTTTCAGAATTTCCAAGTGGAATTAAAAACTTCACCAAATACGTGAGCCTACGTGTAACCGCACCCTCCCCGCGATGAAGGAAAAACGGAGAGAGGGAGCGTCTACAGGCTGCAAATACCTGTGGTAATTTATTTATGGTAAAATAAAGCAAGGTAAAAAGTAGTGAGCTTAAACGAGAAATTAAAGGAAGTTTCAACTTTTACGCTTACGACGACTTTTCCTGCCTTGCCTCCATTTTATTTGTGGACTTAAATTTTAAGCAGATAAAAATTACGCGACAATAGAAATCAACCCTTAGTCATGCCGTAGAAGACGTGTCGGCGATGATTTGGTTTGGAGTTAAATGTGCATAAAGCTACCCTGGGTTGCAGAGGATATTTTTTTCTTATCGATACTGATGGTTCGCGGCGAAGCTGCGTCAACGAGGCGCGAAGTAGCCTCCGACGCCTACGTTCTTAGGGGTTCGTCACGCGTTCCTGCCCCACGAAGGAGCGCGTGACGAACCCCTAAGAATTTATTTTACATTAGGTATTTTGAAAAAATATTGTAATTTACAGTATATTTTTATAGTGTATAATGTACATCTAGGCTAGTTTCTTTCGGATTGTGTATTGTTATTTTAGAATTAGTTTTATTTCAGTGTCCCCAATTAACCCTCTGCTAAATACTATATTGACACTTTAATAAGGTCAAGATGATGATATAATTGGAATATGCACAATCGAAATACCAGTAAAGATAAAAAAAAATGGTGTTGCTGAGTGAATATCTTGCATTTACAATAAAAAGAATTTTTAGACTTTGCCAAACTTTTCTTGTTTGTTAGGGCTCCTGGTTTGTATGAGTGGCCCGTATTTTGGCCATGTGTATTTTTTCAATTCCATTCTATGTATTTCTTTACTCTCATACAGTACAAAATAAACGTTGTTGTTGTTAAGTTGTTGTTGTTGCTTGTAGTTTTCGAGCCAGACAACCCCCTCCTCCTAGTGACCTAGTCACGCTTCAAAGTCACGCCCCTGTTTCTCTCTAACCTTGTTCCCAGGGGCTTCTCGGTTTTCAAAATAGCGTGGTTGCGCGCCTACCTTCTCGCGATTCATACATGCAGCCCCCGCTACTTTTCGACAGAAACGCTGACGAGATGAAGAAAAAATCTTGCAAGATAAACATTTTGCGGCGTTGACGGTATCCTTATTTTTTTGCCAGTATTGTGGTGATTAGCAGCTTGCGTGGGTAGGTGAAAAGTAAACTGTTTTGTGTTAGTCTTAATTACCGTTATAAGGCAATCTTGAGTTCTTGCTAAAATGTGTCAAGCGGCCTTCCCTTCAGTGTAGGTTCGTTTACCCGGCAATTTTCAATTGCGACTGGTTTATCCACTGGTTTATCAAAGGGCTGAACACATCCAATGGTAAATATTTCAAAGTGAATTAAGATGGATGCGATTTTCATTTAAAATAGTGACATCCGCATGTGGAAGTGACTTCAGTATTTTTATTTGCGATCAGGCGTTCTTTTCTTTCTCGGGAGCGCGGAAGACAGCGGATGGGCAAAGAAAAAGGAAAGCAGAACCGCCTGATGACGGGTATATTTCATTTGGAGACCACAAAATGGTACTCAAGGCTACAATCCCGGACAGGAACAACAGCTCATTTTAATGTTCAAAAACGATGGTTTTCCCTTGTGCTAAAAATACCCACTGGCCTCCTTAATTAATGTTGATTGATACAGCTAAATAATAGAAGCCTGCAACACACGGAACAATGTAGACCTGTTTAGCTTGTATGTTTTGTTTCCCAATTAAGATTCCAGGGGAATTAAACCCTTTTTCTTTTCATTAAATAATGTAAATAAGATGATATTGAAAGAGACAGACTTTCTCTAGAGTATCATCATATGATCTGCATGACACGCACATGTAGTTAAGTGTTGATGGGGAAAAAGGATTTAAAAAAGGTGAAAAGTAGGAACCTTCCCAACACTTTTGAAAGTGATTGCAGTTTCAGGATTGTATGTTCCAGTTCAATAATAAAGGGTTTCTCAGCGTCAGTTGAAGAAGCCCTTTTTTCTCGTTCTATAAATGCAGGAAAGGGCATTTGTTGTTCTTGGTGCCCTGTGCAACCTTGAACAAGTATAGCCATAGATGAGGCCCTCTGTGTTGGGGGGGATTGAACTACATTCATCCCTAGTCTGAATTTCAAATGCAGTCGTTTTGTGTTTTGAAGAGCTGCCATGTTCTTGTTGGTATTTGACCCATTTTAATGTCAGTTGTCACCATTTCATCTTGTTTTAAGTCACCATTTCAAGCCCATGTCACTTGTCGATACTTTACCTTAACAGGGCCCCAGATATAGCTGAGACATGGGTAGAAGAGGGGGACCTCTCTAGTCAGAATTTCAAAGCCCTTCATGTTATGTAGTGAACAGCTCCCCTCCCCTCCCCTCTATTGTTAAGTTGTATTGTGCTGTTGTTTTCCTGCTTCTTAGCTTTTTGGACAGTTCCAATGCAATTATTGTACTGTAGAGTATGTTATGGTTAAAACAAAATTTCAGCAAGAAGTAACACTACCAACTCTTCAGTATGTATGAGCAGCACCTTACCCATGTACACAGCTACATGACTTGGAGTTGGTAGTGTATGATTTTGGTTCCTTCCACAAAATACTTAATTTAGCCCCTGTACACCACATGCCAGATGAGGTCCCAGTCCGAGTTGCCCAGGTATCGGTTGTTCATTGCAAACTCATAGAGGTCTGTTAGAGGCGTAGCGTGAAATTTTGAAGATGTTTGAGCTGAAATAAAAGCTGGAGTGCCCAAAGTGCTCCAAACCAGAGGGGTTTGGGGGTATGCTCTCCCAGAAAATGAATGAATAATAAAATAATTGTTGAATTCTGCTTTCATATGATATGAAGAATTATGCAGATCTCTGAGGCTGTTATCCACCTTGGCCTTTGCCTCTCTGGGTAACAGTCTCCTCAATCTGCATAATAGGACAATTGCTTGATGATGATGTCACTTTACTACAACTACACAACATTCTGTACCAGAATTTTTTCAGTTTGTTGCTTTCTAGTTATGCAAATGGGAGCTATGTTTTTTAAACCCCAGTGGGATTGACAAATTTAAAATCAAAAACTAAGAAAGCAAAAACGAAATGGATTCTGGTAGTTGTAGTCAAATGTGGTTATTGTGAAAATGGCCTATTCTTCAAATCATACTCAGCCTCATTCAATGATACTGCTGAACAACAAATGAATTATGTGTAATCTTTTTATTTAATCAAACTTATATTGAAAATAGAAGTTGCTGGTTGCCTGCAGATGACAAACTGAATGATCCAGATGGCTGGTCAAGCACATCCTTATAATGCAGATTTATCCAAAGAATCTGAGCATGCTGCTGAATTCCAGATACACGTTCGCCACTCAAGAGGGGAAAAAGCTGGTCATTGTCATGGTGGACTTCTGTCAGGAAGTTACTGCAAAGAAATCAAAGAATTGTTTACACTAGCTTGGCCCACAGTGTTATCTTACTTCTTTTACCACATGATTCACATGATCAGCTTGTTTTTTGCTGGGCGCATCGGCAAACTAGAATTGGCTGCTGGAACATTAGCTTTATCTTTTATCAATGTGACAGGACCTTCGCTGTTTATTGGCTTGGGTTCTGCAGTAGAGACACTTTGTTCTCAAGCATTTGGAGCGAGGAACTATCGCCTTGTTGGTGTAGTGCTGCAAAGAGGAGTTTGGATTTTAGGATTAACTTGTATCTTAGCCTGGTCACTATGGGTTAATAGTGAGTTGCTTTTGTTGCTAGTTCACCAAGAAAAAAATGTTGCAAGGTATGTTTTATTTAAAGAAACATCTGACACTTAGCAATGTCACCGCAAATTTCCCTTTTGCAAATGTTCGCTGCTGCCATTCTTAAGAGTGTTTCTATAAAGAAAGAAGTTTGCAACCCAGGGTTGAACCTGGACTTTTTGTATCTAATTTCTCTCCCTTGCCACTTCACTACCACACCAACTCGCCAATATTCCATAAAATTTTTAGCACATAAAGTAGCAAACTGTCTTACTTAACTGATACTTCTCAAAAACTCATTAATAATTTATAAAAATTAATGTTTCACGAGTGTTCAGTGTTCGGATGAAAAACTGCTCATTTTTGCATCTTTGATTTCTCCTTCTAAAATCCATTTGTGTGAGAAGTAATATCAAGCATTCAACAAAGTGTTCCTTCACCAGATGAAACACCCTGAAGTTCGTTAAAAATACTCCACTGCAATGTCATATTTTCAACTCTCTTCTAAGTGCTTCATCTGTGATGCAACACTGCGTGTCATGCTTGATATACAGTTTGTATAACATCAATAACAGGTGACTCAAGCCCTTTCCATAACTTTTAACGTCAATTCAACTTAGGCTTCAATGTCATTCTTTCTAAGACTACTCAAAAACATATCATTTGCCTTTATATTAACCAACCACCCAATTGTGATGAAATAGATATTAAGTCCAACTAAGAAAACACTGGGGACCAGTATCTGGAAGGTTGTGGCCATGGGTTTTGATTCCAGCTGGGGGCTCGGATTTTTTCCTCGAGCATTTCTTAGTTGTACTTCATATTTGCCCTGTTGTAACTTACATGTAATCCAGGGAATATATTGCATCTATCATGACCAAAGGCTTGGTTACCAGTGGTGGCATCGACTGTTAAAAATGGCAACCACTGTTTACAGATGGGATCTAGGTGACGGGAGCAATGGTCCCCTGCAAAATGACATCCAAGGAACAAGTACAGAAATTCCATGATGTAATATATCAAACATGAGACGCAGTGTTTCATCACCAGATGAAACACCGAGAAGAGAGTTGAAAATACGACGCGTAGCGGAGTATTTTTGACGAACTTCGAGGTGTTTCATCTGGTGATGAAACACTGTGTCGAATGTTTGATATTTCTTCTCAAACAAAATCATTTTTGAAGGAGAAATTAAGGATGCAAAAAGGAGCAGTTTTTCATCCGATATCCAAACACTCATTAAACATTAATTTCCTTTGAATTTTCTTTATGAATTATTAATGAGTTTGAGAAGATATATTACATCACTTCCCAGATCCGGGTAGTGCTTCTGACTGATAGTGGCGAATTTCCTTCATGGCACATGTACAACCAATCAGAAGTACTACCCAGATCTTGGTAAGGACATGGTTTTATTCCCCCAAGCCTCGTTGCCAAGTCTGAATTTTAATACAATGTATATTGAAAATGGTCAATTGTTGGGTTCAACATGGCATAACATAGCGTGGCATAATTTTTTAGTAACACTCAATTTGTTTTAACTTTTCATAGGTTGACCCAAGACTTCGTCCTCATATGTATACCTGCTTTAATAGTTAGTACACGCACTTCAGTTTTATTACTATTAACAGAAGTTTTTTGTATTTTGTTCACTTCAATAATATAACTATATCTCCTTTGCCAGAAGCCTTTTCTTAGAGGTTTACATAATAAATTATTACACTGTATATATTATGATCTATGAATCAAAGGACAGAAACTTAAATCCTTTTAATTAATCATCTTTTTGCTATTTTTTTCTTTATTAAATAAACAGGGGAATTTTTTGTTTGTCTTGTTACAAAGATATCTTCAGACACAGGTGTGTTCAAAGTAAAGTAGATAAATTGAACAAGATTTTAATCTGTAACAATACTTGTATACACTGGCAAATGATACTGAAGTCAAGCTAAGCCACCTGGGAACTATTTTAAGTTGTTTTGCAGTGTGAAGTAATAACAACATAGACATAACATACGCATAATAATAATGATAATGATAATAATAATAATAATATAGCCAAAATTATATTTCAGGGCTGTCACAGTCTTACATATATTGCTAATGCATTACCGATAAAAGAGCTTTGGAAGAAACTTCAAATCCAAATATTAAACTATTAAAATATTCCTATACTATTACATGATGTCTCATTTCTCTTACCACCCTGCACTAATGTGCATAATTTATATGTCTAGTCAGATCTAATTTTTTTGGAAAGATATATATGTGAGATTTTTCTTAACTTTAATAGCTTTTAATTGCCAAAAATTGCTCTCAGCTACTTCATTAATTTACTGATAGATCAAACAATTAAGCCAAGCACAATGAATATAATCATAATGATTATAACTTCTGCATGTACTGTAGGTGTAGCTTTTTATTCTAACCTTGGAATTTTGTTTTTAGGGTATTGTGAAGCCAATACTCTATGTCTGTGCTGTTACTAATGGGATACAAATTGGTCTTAATGTTCTGATGGTGTTGGTATTTAATCTAGGTTTCAGGTAAACATAGATTCATAGTACGTGTATTTAAGGTACATGTACATGTACTTAATATCCTAATTTTATATATTTTATTATAATATTTTCCTTATTTTTTGTGGGTCAGTTATCTTTGGACCTCCAGATCTCTTCTTTCGTGGGTCAATTTAAGAAGAGAAATGCTTTTCTAGTCTACACTATATGCTTTAATGAAACTGTTCACGACAAATGGTGCTTAAATGAAAGCGTTGGGCAAACTAAAAATGACTTAGAACACATGGTTAAACTCCGTTTAGGTAACCAGCCCTGTATGTACAGTGGTTTAACCATGTCTCTTTTTATTGATTGCCTTTTTGACTGATACTTGAATGTACTCCTCAAAGTATGACAAGACAGCTCTAGCAGTGTCATGACTACACCACCGAGTCATAACTATTCATTGGAAGAAACAAAAAATTCTTGATCAAAAGGCTTTCTGGCTTTTCCACAGGTAGCCCAAGCTCATACTGTGTAATCCTCAAAATTGCCATTTAAGGATTTGTATAAGAATTCAGACACTTAAGATTCAAGAAGATATTAAATACTTGCAGACATTTTCAGTAGTAAAAAAAAACCCTTTTCCACGGTGTGTTCTTGTTTCCTGTGTGGTTATTTTCCCAATCCATAGCGATTTAAGCGATTTCCTTTATCCCGAGTTTCCACTTATAAAAAGAGGACAAGGCCAAACACTTGTGATCTGGACAGCCCGCTGAACAAAGAAAAAAATTACATTCTTGGTTTAAGTCACCCCACAGCCAAAATTCCATCACAGAATCCAACTGGAAAGGTTACTCTGTCAATCTAGCTCCCTAGCCAAGCAATTGTGTCCCTGCAGGCAAAAGCCACATGGCAGTTTGCTTCCGGGATATTTTAACGGTCCAACCCTGGTAGACGGCTGTGTACAAACTCACCATGACATGATGACCATTGAACCTATGTCACATTGTCATAAAAATGATTAAACACCTATACTGAGCTTGGGCTACCTGTGAGAAAACCAGTTTCCAGAAGTGGGTAGTGAAAGGGTGAATTATGACATCATCGCAGATGTAATTTCAAGGTGATGCGTTTACAGACTATAAGTGTTCAATCTATCAAAGACGTAGTTACAATATTTCTCATTTACATTTTACAGGGGAGTGGCCATTAGCTGGGCTCTAACGGCATGCATCTTAACAAGTTTGCTGTTAACTTACATGAAGGTCTTCAAGCTCCACACAAAAACTTGGCCAGGTGAATTTTTTTATTCATGGTCCTTACTTTAAAGCTTTGATCAACATGTATTTAAGCAATAAAAAATGTTTTCTAAGACAAAAGTCGAGGGCTTTCATGACTGTTGAGAGTTCTCCCAACCCCTCAAGTGTTTATAATAGGCTATGCGAATACAGGAAAAAAGTTTTCTATTGCCTTTATATAAAATTATAGCCAAATTCATTGTATCGCGCTGCGTGTTTGCAAAACTTCGAATGGGTTTTTCTGTTCCATCAATCACTTGAGTGGGAGTTAATGCAAATCACAATGCAACGCACTCGCCCAGCTTGGACCACAAAAACAAAATTGTGAAGGACGCTAAACTGCTCAAGAATAGCGAAGGAAATCGCCATGATGAGTGGAATTTTTGTTGAGGGCAGGAGGCAGACATTGCTCTATTCTTGCAGGAGACCAGAATAGAAAAGGTCATAAAAAGCTTTGAAGAAAACTAGCCGATCATTGCCCGAGACAGTTTAATCACTAGCAGCGAACCTTGAAATGCAGAAACAAACAAAGTGGATCAAAATGCACCAATCACAAGTAAACATTTGTTTCCAAAGAGGTCCGCTAAGATGATTGACGGAACAGAAAAACCCCAATTTCCTTTGAAGTTTGCAAAACGTGCAGCGCGATACAATGAATTTGGCTAGAACTTCCCAAAGAAAGATCGCAGAACTCTTGTTTGTTATGGCACTGGTTAAAAGCAAAATTCTTACAAGTTGCAAAGTCTTGTACATGAAGTCTTGCATACGTAATAATAAAAGTGATGATAGTTTTCCTCTTAAATCACTCATTCTTAAAATGTCAGCTTAAGTGAAAAAAAATTGCAACAGCAGGTTTGTAAAGATTTTCCAAGTCTCAGCCGATGGGGAAATGGGGAAATATTAATAGTAATTAAACTTGTTGTGTTTTCAACTCAAAAACTTTTTTTAAATTCATCCGGCTTTGATTAGCACAACTGAAAAGAAAAACATCTTGATGTTATAATTACCATGTTCACATTCTCTCATGCAAACATGCCTCTCTGCAAATCAGAGTGCGCATACTGTCGTAGTTATTTTATAAATTGCATTATGGTATTAATTTGATAATAAATTATTATTTCCCCAATGATTAATTTTTACTGCCATCTGTGGCTCGCGATCCTCTGTTTTGCATTTAAAACTGATGGCATTTTAGTCAAAGTTTGGCCTGTTTTGCTAATTTTTTCAACAAAAGGACTTTTTTTATCTGATATCCATTTTGGCAGATTCATAGTCTTACCAGTATTTTTTTTGTCATGACATAGTTTAGACTGTCTTCAATTAACTTATATGACACTACTCCAAGCTATGGGACACACATGTACATGTACTATAGTATTACTCCTGTTGGTGCTTTATTCTATGGAAAATGGAATAAACTCTAGTGGGGTGGGCCACGTTGGCTTGTAGTGCACGGGCTTATTTACTTAAAGGTTTGCCTAAGTCTGCGTTAGGGTCTGAAAGTATTTTTTGAAGTACATGTAGGTTGTCTATTGGACAGCCATCTTTTCTTTATTAGTCATTCAAAGTGAAATCCAATCACAGAATAATACAAGCCCATTTCAGACCCTGCAGTGCATGGTCATGAAAAAATGATGTTTATTTAATACAGCTGTTGATTTTCTGCTATTTAGGTTGGACAACAGAAAGCTTGTTGAAATGGTCACAATTTATTAAACTTGCGGTGTCAGGAATGGCCATGATCTGTATTGAATGGTGGAGCTTTGAAGTTGGAGCATTTTTAACAGGTACAGTGTATACTACTCTCAATGTTATATTGCTGATCAATCAATGCATGCAGTTTATAACACACTTGATTGGTTTTGTACATTGAATTAAAAATACCACTGAAGATGGCTGTTATCTTAATCTTATTGTAGAAAGGTGAAATACACACGTAGCATACATGTACATGTATACATCTTATCTTATTTTGTTTTTATAGTTCGAGGTACAATTTTAACACACTCACAGTTAGCTATGCAGATGGGTCATATATTCAGGAAATAAATACAACAGTGTACAATGAAACTATTATAAATATAAGCGTGCATATAAAAGTAGATAGTAATTTATTAGAAGCTAGGATACGATTTGTTAGATATCGTATTTAATGCATGACCTTACAGTGACTACAGACCTAATTAACCTGATATTGATGCATAATGACTACGACTTCTAATACATGATATAATGCCAACAACCAGTTATGAGGAAAATAAGTTTAACTTAACTTTTTGAACCATTTTTTAGAGATAAATATTAGTCGTTTGAACCAAGGAGGTCAAAAAGTACTGTATTAACTTGGTTTATTTTCCTTTTTTAAGTTAAGTGCTGGCCCCTTACAAACAGATAGCACTATTCAATGGATAAATCACTATCGAGTGGACAAGTAGTTAATATGTTTTGGGTAGAGTTTCATCAATTGGTTAGCCAGTTTATTTACCTTTTGAACAAGTGGGGCCAGAAATGTTATGTTTCAAATGTACTGTATGATGAACATTAGGTTCGACAGCAACCAACAAATAATTACTTGATGGATGCATTTGTTGTTGTTGTTTTAAAATTAACAAGTAATATCTTGATTTTCTTCGTAAGGTACTCTTGGTGAAGTGCAATTGGCAGCCTTTGGAATTTTGTTCAACTGGGCAATCTTTGTATTCATGGTAAGATTAATATCTAATTGTAATGCATACTCTCTGTCATGGATCAAAATATCTAGCCTCTCTTTAAAATGATTTATAGGTAGCTGTAGTATAGTAAAAGAAGGCTAATGTACCGTTGAAGGTCTTTGAGTGTCTTCTGGAAGTATTACAGGTGTATTTTAATTTTACAGCAAGTTCTCTACCTCCTTTCCTCTCTCTGGCGCTGAATCTGAATCTGATTGCGCAAATTGCTTATTCCATTAAGAATGATTGTATTTGTTGCTGCTGTGGATAATTAAGTTATGCTTGCTCTCTTTTCCGGATCAAAATATCTATGTATAACTCTTCTCCATGGAAAAAGAAAACAATAGGAGATCCTTCAAGTCCTCCTCTGAAAGTCACAGAGGTGTATTTTGTAAAAGTCCCCCGCCCCCTCGCGCTGGCACTGAATTTGAATCTGGGTGTGGGAATTGCGGAGGTGTATTGTGGAACAGCTTACCTTTGTGGGTCAGACAATAGACATCCGTTAGTGAATTTAAAGCCTAGTGATATTATTTTGATAATTAAACAGCAATACTTACATACGGCTTTCTTGTAAAGCAGGTTTTTTTCTTTATCATCTTTATTCTGATCTTTGTTTTTACCTTTTATTTAGTGAGGTAGTTAGAGTGTGATTCCTATGTAATCTCTCTCCCTGGCTTTGAATTTGAACCTGTGTGTGTTTAATTGTAGATACCACTGGGACTGAGTGTTGCTGCCGGGGTTCGTGTTGGAAATTTCCTTGGTGCTGGCAACCCAAAGGCAGTAAAAAAGACGATCAAAGTGGCTCTGGGACTGATAGGTAAACGCGTTTACTACAGCTAAGTTTAACATCTGAAATCATTATAGTAGATCAAACTTCCAAAGACGGTGAAAATTTTATCTTTGTTTTGTTTTTATTTGCTTATTTAGCTTTTGTCTTTCAAGGTGTATCCTTTGGCTCCTACTTACGACTCCAACAGCTGAAGTCCTGATTTTTTTTGCAGGCTTCTTACGCAATTGCATAAATTGCGTTCACAACTGCGAGTATCATTCTTCATTTGATTTCATTTCCGCAGTGATTATTATGATTATTATTTATGATTTATTTCATACGCGGCTATCACGTAAACAGCTTTATGTTATGCGAGCCTTCCGTAGGAAAGCTTATTTCGTTTTCAAAATGCCGGTCCAGCTGACCATTTCTGACATTTGGCGAGGGCCCTATTATTTGACCTCGATGTAAACAGTGCTTCCTTTCTGTCTTCGTTTCCATTGCTTGTTCTTAGCGTACCGTATTTCCTCGAATAATCAACCCCCTTTAATGGAAATAATTTATTTAAAATGATCGCCCCCCCCCCCCCCCACCCCTCTTGTCATCCTCTCTTTCTTTTATCCCCTCCCTGGAATGATGATCCACTAAAACTGATCAGTGTCGATTCAAGCTCTCAAAATTAATCAAGCAACCAAATTTGGAACACTTAAAAAGCCCACTTTCAGTTTATTTGATGTGATATTTTTTTATTTAATGGGATAATAATTAACAAAATATTTAGGTCACGCCCTCTAGTGAGCAATATTTTAAATAATCGCCTCCCTCAAATAATCTCCTTCCCTCGAACAATCGCCCCCTTTTGGTACGAAAAAAAGAAATAATGGCCCCCGGCTATTATTTGAGAAAATACGGTAAGTAAAGTGTAAACAATGTTTTGAAGTTGTTTTTTAAGAATTTCCTTGTTATAAACTAGGCACTAACCAACTATTTCCTTTGAATGTCCATAAGTTATTCTTTTGCCTTTATCTTACAGTTTCTGTAGAGCTCATTATACTTTCTCTATTCTTTGGTCTTGGAGATATCAGTGGCCGTGTCTTCACCAGTAGTAGGTGTGTAAATGCCATATTTACAGTTGTTTTATTTTATGTTTCGTTTAAGCCTTGGATTTCCAATCAGTGATTAGTCATTAAACAGTCAAATTTTTAAAAACTTCAACCACAGTTGTAAGGTGTTCATTAGCCCCTTTTTCTTTAGAGCCACGCGCGGTGAGCTTCAAATTAAATTTACATGTATCTGCACCCGGACTTCGCCCACTTCGCCCGGGGTTTTACTTTAGGAGGGGTTTTGAAGAAAACCAAAAACGCAGGTTGCGATAGCCGTGTCGACCAATTTCAAGTGATTTTGAGAGAAGTATTCGTTTTTTTCGGTCTTCTTTTGTTACACACCCTCTCTGCTAGCGGAGAACCGCCTCCGTCATCGTTGACAAGACTATTTGCCTCGACGATTTTTGAATGCAACAGTACTGAAACAATGTTGTGACGAATCGTCCCCAGCGACATTGCATTAAGCTCCCTTAAAAAGAGTGAACAACGACAGGGACAAACCCTTAAGTGTCCGTTTTCGGAAGATTTATGTTTTAGACAGTTGAATGTAACATTTGATCTTTATGGAGTTTAAGGTGGACTTTTTTTCATTTCTTTCAGCGATGTTTTGGCTGTTTACAAAAAGAATATTCGCATCGTGTCAGTTCAGTTTTTCTTTGATGGAATTCAGGTACATGTCGACTTACTTTGAACTTACTAATCTAAGGCTTTGGTGGTCAGTCGATAAGTGGTGGTAATTAATTTTGTGCCACCATCAACTAAAAAAATCTTAGGATAATACACATTTTACCGTTTGAAAAGGAGTTTCCCACGTTGTTCAGTCCAGTTTATCCAGTTTTGCCATGTAGTTACTTGTGCTAGTTCGAAGATAATTGCCAACGAGTGTTACACATCACAGCTTCCTCGCATTTTAAATCCTTTATATATCTCCTAAGCAGAGAGAGAAGCTCCGAAGAACTGACGGGCTCGCTAAAACAGTGTTTGCTTTAAAGTGTTTTATAACGATAGCACTGCCTATTGAAACGGAAAATTACAGTGTCCAAGAGTTGTTCTCAGCTAAGATTAACAGACTAGACGTGTTTCTTTGAGGTCATTACTCGCCTTTTAACCGGGTTGAAGTAAGAGTGTTGTACTGTTAAAGCATTGCAAAGTTGTACATGACTTGTTGGCCTTGGTGACCTTTCTTTTTAGGGTGTCTGTAGTGGGATTGTACGAGGGGCTGGCCGACAGAGGATAGGAGTACTGATCAATTTTCTGTCATATTGCGTGGCTCTTTCCCTTGGCATTACCCTGATGTTTTTCGTCTTTCATGAAAGCGCAGGTAAAAACAATGATAATAATAAATAATAATAATAGTAATAATAATAATAATAATAATTAATAAACAATAATCTTTATTACAAAACCTCAATTAAAATCCTATTTACAATCAACCCGCTTTTACAAAAAATCTAATTAATTCATCAAAACACTATCTACAATTCCATCCGTTACAAAAGAAACCCCTCGGCCTTCATTAGAGAACAAAAACAATCCTATATATGATAAGTGAAGAAAGAAACTATTCATTTACAAATGCTAAAAAATAGAAGTAACTTAACCTTACATAAAAGAGGAGGAAATAGATATAATTAATGATAAAAGTTCAAAATTCTATAAAATAAAGAATTCCATTATGCAGAGATATTAAGATCATACAATCGAATAATACTAATGACGGCTAAACCAGTGTCCATAAAAAGCCCTAAGTATAATTAACAATTATTCGACGAGGGCGCGTTGGATATGAGATGATAGATAGCCAACGAGGCGCATAGCGCCGAGTTGGCTATAATCATTTCATATCCAACAAGCCCGAGTGGAATAATTGTTTTATTAAAAACGCCCACAAAATCTCGTTGAATCGCCCCGACTAGAACAAACCGGAAAAGACAAGGGACTTCCGCTATTGACATGTCACACGTCTATCAAAACTGTCAACGCGCGAACGGACTCGCCTAGACTGCATGAATGAAAAATCAAAACATTGTGCGATGAACATTAGTTTTTTAAAAACTCATCATGATTCTAGGATTTTACACAGCAGAACAGCTGAAAAACCCTGGCAGATAATGTGAAGGAAAGGAATTTTTAAGTGACAGCCGTCGAAATTACTATGAATTTGGATTTTCGGTGCAGTTATAAAATTAAGAACAACGGAGAAAACTACCGGTATTACCTCGGTCGCTTGTTATGAAGTTGTTTAAAGCCACAAGCTGGTTTTGCTGAACGAGAAAAGAAGCTATACTGCCGCCTGGATTGCTCTAGTGAATGGCTGCATAGCCTGTATTTGTAGCTGGTTACTTGTGATTTATATTCTTGATGTCGGATAAACAAGCTGCAGTTATCTATCGGCGAGTGACTTGATCGGCGAATGGCTTCGCGATCATGAAGAAACAACACTTGTCTTCTTTCGTAGCTGGTCAAGGTACTTTAGTTCCATGTGTTTTTCGACAAACTTTCAGACAAGCTCTTGTGGCTTTTTTGTTTGTTTTTGTCTTTTTTCTTTCGTTGAAATTGCATTTCTAGTATTCTAAGAAATGAATTAAAACGATTTGCTTCGGGCGCCGTTCTATCCTTCGCGAAAAAAAATCTCAGCTAGCTTCCAATTTTAAACTGACGCGTACACCGACCATATATGGAGAACATGGTATATTAGCTCATATACCATAACGGCTAAGCCAATCAAAATGCTAGAATTGCATTATCCAATGATTCAGTTTTTAATAAAAGCATATAGACACGTATTTCAGATATCCGCACTAGCGACATTTATTTTACAGTCTAATGATTGCTCTATCTTGCTACGAAACGGCGTTCGCGAACCTCTGACGCATGCATGTACCGATCTTAAGAGTTCAAACGAGATCTGTGTCCTGAGCCAAGTGATTACAACATGATAAGGCTCGGTGTCTTTCTGAGCTATCTTGTCTGCGAGGTGCTTTAAGAACCGCTGACACTCGTTTCCCATTCCGCCATTGGTTCCAAACACTAAAGGCGTAAACGAACCCATTTCTACATCTAACACCCGCTGCTGGTACTTGCGCTTCTTCTCTTCTTCTTGCTCTTTGAACACTTCCGATGTTGGCTTGCTCTGGTAACACTTGGAGTTGACGTGCGTAACTCTAACATCAAAAAATGCCGTAACTCCTCTTGCCCAGAAACCTCCCGCTTTGATGTCCAACCGTGCCTCAGAAGTTGTAACAGCGCTCCTCAAATGAAATCGCTCGTTGTCCAGGGGTTGAAGGCGTGGTTCGATTTCGACATTATTGCAGATCTTGTCGATGAATGTCGTTAACAAGTTCCGTATACCGTCATGCCTCTGCGCTACAAACCCCCCCTTTTTACAAGAGAGGGCGTGACTAACGGTGAATTTATCCCCACATATGCAATGACTTGGTAAATCGACTAAGGGCAAGTCATAACGCAAGCGTAGCGAGTCTCTGAACTCTTGCTTGTTGAGGGCTAAACCTTGGTCTGCGAGAGGCATCGCATTCAGCCAAGAACTTGCGCCCTTGTTCCTCGATTGATTAACCAGACGCAGCAGGCCTGTGGAGAGGCTTGAATCAATGCTATCCATTTTCTCTTTGGCACTTGCTCTCTTAAGTGATTGTTGATGCCTCTTTAGCTCCTCCGTAGATCTTTCTCCTGGCACCATGATGGAACTCTGTGAAGTAATAGAATCTACGTGCGCGGTGGTTATATGTCTCGAGGCAGCAAACTGCTGCGGTGCCTCGGATTTCAGATCAGGAATGCCTAGACCCCCTTGACCCGTTGCTAAGGTAGCAAGTCTGCGCACCTCGTTAGGGACAGGCTCTAATTGACCGAACAAAGTTGGGAGTAGTAAATCTTCAATCACTTCCTGGATTGGATCGACATAAACTTCAAACGATTCAATCGTGCGCATGAAGTAGGTGAACTTCGACTTGTAGCCTTTTGTGAAAACAATATACGCCGCATGGGGCTGGCTCTTCGCTATTTCAGAGAGACGTTCGATTTCCTCTTTCCATGCACGAACCTTTTCCTCACAATACTGATCTTTGTCTTCTTGCGACGCAATAACTGCTCCCAGATGGCGCTGACCTTCAGTCGCTATGTTGACTTCCTCTCCAAACACCCTCTTTGCTTCCTCCGCGAGTTCCCTAGACTTCACAATAAGCCAGCTCTTTGTCCCATTTACAAGGTAACCAATATAATAATAATAATAATAATAATAATAATAATAATAATAATAATAATAATAACAATAATAATAATAATAATAACAATAATAATAATAATAATAATAATAATAATGATGCACGGTGCACACGTAGCTATAGTTAGACCTTAGGAAACGCAAACTCCACGAGCATGTAACCAAATACTCCCTACAGTGTGGCGTGCAAAAAAAAGTTGATTAAAGCTTCAATCTAACAAAAAGACAAAAGTGATCCGCCCATCATACAAACGGTAAAAAAAAAACATGCTATACAAATGTTCAATGATGCTCCACGTTCATTATTAAAGACTGTGATGTAGGGACCCAAGAATCTGTAATGGACGATAGTTTTTGTCAACTTTTGTCTGGGCTGGGGTATAGCTGCCCTCTGTATTAGTACCTGGTTTTAGTAGTAATTGCGAGATGTTTTCAAGGTCATCTTTGACTGTGCTTAGTTTTTTGTCCTGTTTTGAAGGTCTGTGGATTGGTCTTTTAACTGGAGTGGTTATCCAGGTAAGCATCTCAAACAGCGTCGAAACCTTATAGTATCCTGCGAACAAGCTCTTATTTTAGGTGATATCGTGAGAGGTATAGGTTAGAGGTGTTTGTGTCTATTGTTGCAACGTTTTTGATGCAGCAGTTCGGATGTAAACAGCAAGATAAATTGTGAGAGTAATGCATGTGGAATACTACTCCAAAAGTACGTTTTCGAAAATCGGGTGATTTGTTTCGTTGTAACAGCCAAAAATTTCAAACAGAGATTCTCGAAAACGCTCTCCATAAAAATTGTTTAAGATTGGTCGCTAACTGAAGACTAAAACCCTACAAGCAGCTTCAAGAACGAATGTTTAGGTTTCTCAAACCTGAGACCCACCTTTTTCTGGCACGTTAGGCTATTTTTATTCTTAGTTTTTATTTTTTCATTAATTAATTAACCAATTTTTATAAAATTGTATGTTACATCACATTTTTATTTCATTTTGGATAAGATTTTTAAGTAAGTGAGTTATTGTAAAGCGCTATTGATCATTTTCATGTAACTAGCGCTACATAAGTATTTTAAATTATTATTATTATTATTATTATTATTATTATTATTATTATAGCGTTTACACTCACGTGAAGAACATCTATGCCATTTTATGGGAACAAAAGAAATTTTTTACATAAGAAAAGAGTCCAACTCCCACAGGATTTGTTTGGAACACCAATATGGCCGCCGTGACGACATGTGAATACGCTCTATAAAATCACAATGAGGCCACTGTATTGCCATGGATGCGCCGTTCTAGGTTTTTTGTTTGAGGCATCTTTGCATTTCGTGTTCAAAGAGAGTATGTGTTGTCAATTTAAAACTGTGTCGAGGCATCTTTTAATCTCTTTTCTTTTGTCCTCTTTTTTACTTGTAGCTAACCCCAAATACAGTAATTTGTTTCTCTGTTTTTTCTGTTTCATTTTAGTCTGCTTCGTATTTATTCCTTCTTTGGAGAACAGATTGGGACAAACAAGCCGAGCTAGTAAGTGAATCTCTGATTTTCGTGGAAAATTATGAAGATGTCGTTCACCTTTTTTCACCCGTGCGCGGCTTCCTACCGTACGTAGCTAGTGTGTGTTTTGTTCTCCACGCCCGCCGCTCGCTTGCCTTCGCTCGTCTGCAAAACCGAAAAAATGCGTATCGTTTTATGGCCAGTTTGGTATCACTGAAGCGGACCACCACGGAGAGGGGGCATATGGTTTCTTTTGAGTAGAGATTCTGTTCGCCGTGGCAGTTGTCACGACACCGAACTTGAAGTAGTTACAATCCATTTCCAACCTGGTCACCCAAAGCCAAAAGACATATAGGGTCTTGTAAAATGATAGTCATTTTAAATTTTTCTGGACAGTTACTTTTGGTTTTAATTAAACTGACTCGAGTGTGTTTTGACCTCATTCCCAGGGTCCTCCCCTACCCGGCCCATCTCTCGCTCCGGGGCCCGCGTAGGAGAAAGAGGATGATGTAAACACACTATGCGACAAGTTGGCGACAGATCACTCAGTGTGTACAGGTCGGGTGACTAGTTGCACCCATATGTCGCTGCGACAAATCGCTTCGTGTGTGCTGTACCCTGAGTATCAGGCCTTCCTAAGGGGCTAGGGGAGAGGAGATTTTAGATGGGGGAGGGGGGAGGGGAGCTCTCTCCCTTTTCCTCTTCCATCTTTCCCCTTTCCCCCCGAAACGCCTGGTACTCAGGCTATGTGTGCTGGAGACCTTTTGTGAAAATCTTTGTCTCTGCGACAGAATTTTGTCGCTGTAACAAGTCGCAAAAAAAAAAAATTGTGCGACTTGTTGCGGCGATAAAATTCTGTTGCAGCCACAAAGATTTTCACAAAAGGTCTCCAGTACACACGAAGCGATTTGTCGCTGCAAAAAGTCGCGGCCACATGTTGCTGCAACTCTTGTCGCGTAGTGTGTACCGACCCTTAGGATCTTATAGGAACATTTCTTAGTTTGATGATGGTTTTTCATTTGTCAGGCACAGCGAAGAACAGGAGCCAAGACTGTCAAAGATTTAACCTCTGGAAACTTACTAAATGGTCATTTCGCTGGACAGTCCGCCGAAAAACACAGAGGTGCGATGATTTGTACAGGGGCCGGGGGTAAAACTGATTAGGAATTCCTCTTATGCCTCTGATAACAAGACCAAATAAAGCTATGTTATAGACGGGCAAAAAAAACGTGCAACGTGTTTTGCAACATTTCTGCAGAGCGATGTTACGCGTTTTACCACTTACATTCAGACCTGTCTTGCACCAAATTAAGGTTGCTTTAAGTTGCGTGACTCTAAAAATGTCTCTCCGAAAATGTTTCCATTCAAATGAGACCTCTTTGGCAGAACTTTTGCTTAATCATACTTCTTAGTAAAAACCGTATTTTTCTAAAAGGAATGATTTTTTTGTGATTGTTTTTGCGGTAAGTAGTAAACAAAACATTTCTGCTACCTCATGATTATTTTTGTAGTTGAGTTTTATCCTCCAAGCCCGAACCTTCAGCTTAATACAAAATGTTTGTAAACTTATGTGTCGATTTATTTCAGACCTAAATCTTGCAAGCTGGATCAGCAAGACTTCGTCTTTACTGTTTCTTAATCACGTCGATGCTGATAACTCTCAGTTTAGACTTGCCCTACTTTCAAATGATGGGAGCACTTCAGAGAGAGATAGTCATCAAGAAGAGATTAAATCTGAAGCAACAGCTGATATAAAAAGAAGTCACAATCTTACTTCATCACAAAAGAGAGCTCTTATTGTAAAGCGACTTATCCCTCTGGTTATATCTCTGATGATTTTAGGCGGCGCTGTAGCCTTACGGTTTCTAATTCCGTTGCCTTCGTCGCACGAGACTTCTTCATTTGGAAATGACACACTTACTGCGAATACTTTCTATAATAATCTAACAACTAACTTAGTAACTTGAACAACGCGGGATCATTGTGTCACAGTTGTCATCGGGACCGTGTGTTTCAATAAGCTTCTCTTGGTACTGAATGGGACCAAAGTGGACCAGACGCGATACAAATCGCGAGTGTTTAACATTGTTTATTGTTTAACATTCAAGTCTACTTAAGTGAAACGTAAAATTCTTATCTGTTGATCACATATTTTAACACATTACAAAGTCATCCTCACTATCTACTCTCCAGGGTTTTCCCTCGTTCACTCCATATGTATGCAAACATCACACAAACGCTTCCATTTGTCAGCTCTTCCCTCATCAGGGCCAAAAAGCATTTTATCACAGGAATTTATGATTAGTTGTTTGTGTTTAGAGGATAAAAATTCTAAGCACTGACTTTCAGTAACATTTATATCAATTTTACTCAATGTAAGATAACATTAAATTATTTTCTTTCCCGGTGGTATTGTTTTCATATTTTTGGAATCTAAGGTTCGTAATAATTCAAGACATTTCTCATACGATTTTAAATTTTTAATATATATGTAGTATTTATATCATTCACTAAGTCCACATAAGCCATAAACACCACACATCTTTGTAGAATTCTTTTCCTGTATTGATTCATTGACAATAAAGGAAAATCGGCAGGTGAGGGGAAGGGAAAAAGTACCTTTTTTCATAGTTGTTTCATTTTGTTTTGATCTCTTTTTCTTTGAATTCACGGCAAGGATCTTGTTTTCTGTCATTTTCCTGTTTCTACAGGCAGTTCTCATGGTTCCCCTTCGCCACAGAGTCTCCCTCTCGAAACGTCCTAACCTGCAATCACTTCAAACTTGTTAACGTCATCTGACCTTAGTACTCAATCTCCCCATTGAAAAAAAATGCCTCGTCTCATGTAAGAAACGTGACAGCTACGAGGAGCGATGAGAGTCGGCTATTTTGGCAGGTTGCTATGTTTCTTCACCACTGCGTTTTTTCACTATTTTCACATAGACCATAATGCACCTTGTTCTTCCGCACCTCTCCCCCCCCCCCACCCCGGGCCGCCCACTAAACTAAATAAATAAATAATAATAATTCATAACCATTATTCCAGTTTCTCCTGGGTATTACAGACCCCTCAAGAGAAATCGAAGGCAATAGTTATGCAAAATTTTGTTGGCAAACATGGGGAATCCGACAACCGACTGGTTAAATCGTGGTTTGTTCCGGTTCACTTTTTTAAAAACCTGAATATTAAGCATCTTATCCATCCAATTGTCATTGAAATCCTGCCTTTATGACATTTACGATTTTACGGCAGTTTAGTAAGATTTAAAAAGCTTCGCGTGACATGTCTCTCGTGACTTATTTGAACGATGACGTCATGTGCCGCACCCAAAAATATTCGTTTACATTCGTTTCCTTGTTGCTCCGTCCCAGTTGTCTGAGTTGGGATTTTGGTGGGAAAGGGCAACACTTCCCTCAATTGCTGTGTGCTTTCATTTGACAAATTCTGCTACACACGGATACAGGTTAGTGTAAAGATCTTGATCCTTCAATACTTCTTCAAAGTCTAAACGAATGTAAAAAAGAAATTGAGCGGTATAGACATGAATCTTGAATGTCGTCTGGTTTATGGCTTCACGGTTTATTCGTGTCTGAAACTGAATTTCCGATCTACACTTCCAGTTTTCAAGCTGCTTTTTATGTTCTTATGTTACCACTCTTTTACCTGGGTTTGTTTATTGTTTCGGGTATTTCGTGTTACAAATCATGTCACAAGTCGAGCCTGGAGGCATTGAAGGTATTTGTTTTAGAACAGTCTTAAACCGGCCATATTGGAATTGGAGCGTGTTAGCTTCATGATTATCTTGTTGTGATTTACTACTCCGTATACGCGTTTGTGAGTCGCTGGTAAACTCTGTCCTTGACGTCAGTTGAACAATCATTTGGATTCTAATCCAAGAAGTTAAATACTGGTAGATTTAGCGGTTAATCTATGTTTGCAAAGGATTCCGAAAGGGGGCACCCAACGACAGTTGGCATGCAGTTCTGAAGGTTATTTCTAAAGATCCAAAAGCACTCTGGATAGCCTAAAAAGTGTTTGCAATGCATATAGGAGGAAAGCGTCGTTTCGTGCCCCTGTCCGATATGTTAGTGTTATAGATAAAACTTCACTTTTGTAGGTGTTTTCCCTGTTCAAAAAAATGTCACGTTGGTGGTCCTTATGAAATCAGATCTACGTTTACAATAAGCCATGCGAAGATAATCACAAAAGGAATGAAATACTCAGCAAAAGTCATTTGTAATGTCCTCAAATGACGGGGGCCTTCCTCTGACTGGAGTGGAAATTTGCAGTCCAAAAAATCGCACCTCAAAACTATCTGGGCTGAATATTTTTCTATTTAGTTACGGATTCCTTTTTCCCTAACTTCTCAGTTCACAACAGACTGTAATTAACAAAAGTTGTGATCTCCTTGTGTAAAATTTATTATCGTTTGCGTGATCTAGAACAGGGTGTCCAGTTCCTTTTTTTTCCTATTTTTTCCTATTTCTTGAGCCTATTCCTATTTTCTCCCATTTTAAAACTAAAACCTCCTATTTTTCCTATTTTTTAGCTGGTGAAGCCAAAATTTGTAACAAAATTTAAAATGGAATATGAATTATTATAGTTGTATGTGTTTTAGAGTGAGATTTATCATAGAGCAAGTAGTGTGTTGACTTTGATGTTCTAATATTAGCAAAAATAATAGTTACATTTGTTCTTTCTATGACCTTTATTGCTTATTAGAGTTCTGTTAACAACTTTGTTACATTGTTACTTTTTGTATAATTTTCTAGTGTACCTACATGTGTTGTATATAGTGTCGTAGTCCTCATGACTGTTGAATAATATTGAGCATAGCCCTTTGAAATTACATTTCAGTATCTGCAAACTCCGAAAAAAATATCTCCACCGTAAGGGGTTAAATTAACCCCACTGGAGGAGTTATTATAAGTCCTTGAAAATTACTGAGTAACACGGGCCAGATAAATCATCAATCAGCTTCTTGTTTTTAAAAACCAATCACTAGCTGGATTCTGGATGCTATATGAAAAGAACAGACTCAAGTTTAGTTTACGGCTCTACCTCTCTTGGTGACCGTTAACAGCTATACCTAAGCAACTGACGAAGGATCCCATATTTTGGATGCAAAACCGGTCTTGCAGTCATAGCTAAGCAGAGAGTTACGTTCATCTTGGAACTTAACCATGACACACTTACAATCTGGTACCAAATAGATCAGAGTCATTTTGCGTACACCCCGGAAAGCCTGGTTGCGTCACTTAAAACAATGCGGTCCGTTTTGACTCAAACAAGCATATTCTAAACCAGCTATCAATTGCAGATTAATGGAAGAAAAGCTTTCCATAGGACTTTTTAGTCCTAGTTCGATATCCTTCAATTACAACTCAATCGTGAGAAATTTCTATCCTAAGAAATTTCACTTTTCGAAGCTTTTCAAAGATTGGCCGCCCACTTGCAGGGAATCTGCTTATGATCAGCTTTGATTATAGAACCACGCTCGACCTGTAGTCAATCATATCATTTTACAGCATAACTGAGCCAATAAACTAAAAGTTACTGTTAGTTAGAGGGGGTATCATTCAGTGAGTTGACAAAGAACCGCGGAAGCAAATTTTTTTCTCTACTTTTGAAGGAAACGGGGATTTGCTTCAATCATAATATAGTTTGACAACTTTTACTCGGCATAGAAGGCCAGCCCTGTGTCTTAACATTTCGACCCCCCTCACATTTTGTGCATTTTCAAAATCAAGCCTCTTAGAAAATTGAAACCTATCAGCTATTTCTCCTACCAGGAATGTAGTGTGTATGTACGCACATATGCCAATGCATACTGCTTGAAAATGGAAAAAATATATAGATTTTTTAATTTCCTGACAGCATTTTTATCATTAAATTGGGATAAATATTTTTCGCATTTTTTGGTGTTTTTGTGTTAGGATTTCCTTTATCCCTTTACTGATTAAGTGGAGTGAAATGGATTCGAATGTGAAGCCACAGACTTTGGTTGAGACTTTTGACCAAGTGTTAATGATATATGAAATAAATCATATATGAACTGCGGAAATGAAATGAAAATGAAGAAATGATCGTCGCAGTGAACGCAATTTATGCAATTGCGTAAAGAAGCCTGAAAAAATTCAGGACTTTAACTGGGTTTGAACCCGTGACTCTGCGATTACCGGTGCGATGCTCTACCAGCTGAGCTATGAAGCCACTGATGTTGGGAGCAGGTCAATTGTGGGTTCATATGTTCCGGTGAAAGAAATGAGTGTTAATGATATATGAAATAAATCATATATGAACTGCGGAAATTAAAATGATGCCTCTTTACGCAATTGCATAGATTGCGCTCACTGCGACGATCATTTCTTTATTTTCATTTCATTTTTTCACTTTTCTTCCCCTGCGTGCACCTTCAGTGCACCTTCTCACGCTACGCTGCCAACTACCGGTATCTTATAGCTTACGAAATCAATGCCCAATGTTTGAGAAGGGACTTGGTCCAGAAGGGGTTGGAGGAGGGAGGGGGGGGTGCATTTTAAAAATTGTTATTGCCAAAGGGGGGGGGGGTACAATTTTCATATGTAATTATTTTAGGGGGCGTAAATTTTTGATACATCACACTTTTCTGAAAACCCCCACTCGACTGACTTGGGCAGAAATTTCTTAACAACCTCGCGTGTGAATTCGCTGTTCATTTCTCATGCAGGAATGCAGAGATGAATCTCATATCTACCAACAGATTCAAGTCATTCAAACAAAAGGAATCAATATTTATTTATTTATAATAATATTAATAATAATAACAATAATATCAGCATGTTCAGCCGATAAACCTTTTGGAATAACCCAGCCTTTTGAACCAGAAACGTGTTTAACAAACACTTTTGCATTACCTGAGGGTACCCTTGCATTGCCAGATGGTCATAAGTAACTCTCCATGTTTCCTTTTCATAAAGATGCATGACAACTTTGATGTTTGGCGATGGCATCTTCTTTACGGGAACCTGGTTCACGGGACTGCAGAGTAGATGATTCCCGCAAAGTGCAAGTCACTATTTTGGCTTCTGAATGGGGATCAAGCAAAGGGGGACTTTCCACCATAAACAGAGAATTAGCCATTCAGTTGGCCAAATGCCCTGAAGTGGAAATCACTTTCTTTTTACCACAATGCAGTCAAGAGGACAAGAAGTTAGCCCTGAGGCACAACGTAAAGATCGTTGAAGCAACCCCCCTGTCTGGCTTTGAGCAACTGAACTGGCTTTGCTTTCCGCCTGAAGATTTGCAAGTCGACATTATCGTAGGTCATGGAGTTAGACTCGGTAAACAGGCACAAATCATTAAAAGATCTAAAAGGTGCAAATGGGTCCAAGTGGTGCACACAGATCCAGAGGAACTTGGAATGTTCAAGAACTATTCAGATCCAATTTCAAAAGGCGAGGAAAAGCACAAGACCGAAGTAGAACTGTGTGAAATGGCGGATCATGTTGTTGGGGTTGGCCCCAAGTTGAGCGAGGCCTTTCGCTCCTATCTTCGCAGCTGCCAAAAAGATGACAATGTTGTTGACCTCACTCCAGGAGTATTTGAAGAGTTTGTGGCTGTGAAGCAGGCTCCTAGCGAAAGGCTTCAAAGCAGTGTCTTGGTGTTTGGTCGTGGAGACGTAGAGGATTTCGAATTGAAAGGATTTGACATCGCTGGGAAAGCGGTTGCTGAGTTAGAAGATACTCGTCTTGTCTTTGTTGGGGCTCAAGATGGAAAACTCGAAGAAATAGCAAAACGGTTTACCGAATGTGGTGTCCCTCCAAGTCGCTTGAGAGTAAGACGATTTGTTCAAGATCGAGAGAGTCTAAGGCGCTTGTTTCAAGAAGTGGATCTTGTTGTCATGCCTTCAAGAACAGAGGGCTTTGGATTGACAGGACTGGAGGCCTTGTCAGCTGGTCTCCCTGTTCTCGTCAGCCGCAACTCCGGCTTTGGAGAAGCTTTACTCAGTGTACCTTTTGGATCAACATATGTAGTGAACTCAGAGGAACCGGCAGATTGGACCTCTGCGATCAAAACAATCTGGGTCAAGAACAGGAGAAGTCGTCTTGAGGAAGCGGAAACCCTGCGCGAATTCTATGGCAAAAAATACAACTGGGCCAAACAGATAAAAGATCTCGTTGACAAGATGATCAGTTGGGTTTACGGTATGAATGTGAATTTTCTTTGTTATGAAAAAAAATTATTTATACATTGCAAAATGAATATCAGGAAGTGGACTCTAAGAAGAAATGAAAATATACACTCCAGATAAAACCAAATTTGAGTAATATCCGCTGCCTTTTTGTCCGGGTGAAATCGTGAAGAAAGGCTGTTACAAAGTTTTATGTTTCATTTGGGCAAACGCACGAAAGTAATATTGACCCAATCCATCTATCATGTAATTTATCCCCAGTTCACTGGCTTATGTGATTATTTCATACATCTGCATTCACCAAAAACAGCCTGTTGTTATATTAGTACTCTTTTTTATCAACAGATGTTCCTTTACATTACCAGAGCTCTTCAGAAACAAAACGCAGAATTTCTCCATCCGCCGATAAAGTTTGTCAGCGAACAGAGGGGACAACTGTAGACCCTGAAGGTATCCTCGATGACTAATCAGCGTAATACGTCATAATACTAGTCGTGAATGGTGTTGCTGGTCAAAAGTGTTCTTTGTTCATTAAAATTGTCAACATCATTTGAATCGGGCGTCCATGCTTGAATTAGCGTGGATGAACGATAACTAAGTTGACTTGCATGACTTATACATACCGCCAAGGCACAGCGGCTGGCTTTGGTCTGTCTCGAACTGGTGTAGGATTTCGCTCTTTCTCCGTATGTTCAAGAACATTAAAACTTCTAGAGTTCTCGAATCTGCCAAAAAAGTGGGTGGAGGGGGTGGGAGGGAGAGAGAGAGAAAAGAAAAAAAGAATATGCGGCATATGAGAACACGTACTATTTGCGTACTTTTCACTGAACAAATTATTGGATCTCATTATGCCTAAAAAGCTACTAATTAAAAGTGTATTGCTAAGTGTTTTTCAAGGGCGCCTAACGACGGTTACTTGCTACAAAGATTGAAACTAACACTTATGAGGCTAGCCAGAGTACTTGTAGATATCTATAAATGCATTCTAAGCGGGGCGATATATAAAATTTGTGCCTGTTCGTTCATCCTAGGGGAATATGAGCCCTTTATGGATTACAAGGGTTTCAGTATTATTTTTCCGAAAATTTTAGATGCAATTTAACATATTATGAAAGTGAGAATTTTTCTGATTCCTCTCTCCATCCCATTTTTGAATCCGGGAGTGAAATGTGAAAATTTAAACTTCAGGAAATCGTAGGGGAGTTATTAGATGAACTTCGAAAATTGTACATGAATAGAGCGGTCGTCTAGAAATTTTTAGCCGTCCTCAAGTAATTGAAAATTCTAGGAAAATATTTCCTTCTCCGAACAGATATTTTACAGAAGACAGTCGTTGGGTGCCCCTGGTCTTTACTCTTATTGAAACGGTTTCGGAGAAGGAAATATTTCCTACAAATTTTAGGATCGTATTTACACATACAACACTTTAATTTTACTGGAACCGTACTGTGGCACCATCACAGGGCCTGGGTTACCTTTGCTTGCATCAGAGGGCAAAGACAATAACCGCAGAAAAATAATATGCGTGTCACGACCTCTTAGTTTGAAACGACTTCGATCGACAAATGTCAATGTTCGACTAGCCGAGCAACTCAGGAACCCGTTGACTGGCGAGCGGGGTTTTCAAAATCCTGGGGTTTGTCTGAAAGAGTTTCTTTCCTTCCTTCCCCTCCCCATCTTTCATTTTTTGGCTCTCGTTCTATTTCTTGCACTGCCAAAACCGAAAATCCCGTTCCTCGGTCTTTCTTTGCTCTGTAACATGACGAAAACGCTTGCTTCCCAGCTAAATCTAGCTTTTCCTTTACCAGTCTTGAGGCCGCGCCCCGCGCCCACTGTGTATAAACAGAATATTAAGTTGTACGGAAGCGAGTTGGAATGATTGCGATAAGGATTTAAAAAGCGCAAATTTATGGTCGTCCGGATGAATATTCGCTAAATTAATGCAGTCGTTGACACAAAATTTCATTCGCTGTCTCTGAAGTATAAATTCGCTATCGCTAAAGGATACATTCGCTGTTGCTAAAACTCATTCGCTGTCGCTAAAACTTGTACTGGTCACCGTACTAGACGCTTCCGCTTGCATAAAGTCAGCGAGAAAGAACAGGGTGCTCGACGAAGTCACGCGTGTCTTCCACGCGCGTCCCGTTCTTTCTTGCACCCACTACTTTCAAGAGCCTGCTACGCTGACTAGCTAAAAGTCATATAATTGACTGTTGTACAGTGACTTAATTGTTATAGAGGTGTTTTGTTTTTGAGTACTGTTTATATTAACTGATCAGTGTGAAGAATTAGCAATGTATGTAATGGTGACTCTTGTTGTTGGTTGTAGGCTCCTCTTCAGTTTCAAAGTGCGCTCAAGGGAAAACAAATTATTCTCGACTATGTCGCCTGCTGATCAGCACAGGCTCGCGAGTGCTAAGAGACACATTTGATAGCATAATTCCAGCGGAGAATCTTCGAGAATTCTTAAAACGTGACCGTGCGCACTCCAGACTACAGTTACTGCGAAAGAAAGGAATCCTAACTTCAGTACATTGGAGTAGGTTGTACCCTGCCACACCCACTGAAGTGTCATCTGCAAGCTTTGATATCTTCCTCTTGATTGTGCTTCTAAGGACAATCTGTAATCTAAGTCCTCCACCCGCTGGCTGGGACACACCTCCTCTTACAGCAGACACCAGTCGTGAGTCTGACATTGCGCGCATAAAGTACTTCATGAACCCCGTATCAAAACATGCCGCGGAAGGCTCTTTCAGTGATGCTGTATTCAATAGCTACTGGCAGCAGATCTGTGACACACTAGTGAGGTTGGGAGGAGCTGATTATGGAGTTGTCATTAATGAAATGAAATACCAGGACATTGAATTCCTTGATGGGGAACATTTCAGAGAACTTCTCAAGCAGTGGAAGAAGGTAGAAGATGACATCAAAGAGAAGCTGAATGAAATGGAAACTGAAGAAGCTTCTATGGAGGAAGGTATGCTTTACAGTAGACCTTTTGTAGCTCAGGTGTCTTTTCGGGATAATACCTAATTTACCTAATACAACTGTGGTGGCAATTTTTTCAAATCTTTGTTTATGGCGACGTAGTTTATACTCAAACTTACGAGGTATTGACCCTGAAAAACTGTATCGAGTCACCTTATGTAAAGAATTTTTTGAGCGCCTCCGTCCAACTTGACGTAATCGGTCTTTCCCTTTTGACATGCCTTGAAGCTACCAAAAGTGTATTGCTAAGAGTCTTTATTCCTATTGAGACGGTTTGCTAACTGATAACTGAGAATTAATCAAGTAATATTAAGATCTTGCTTATTCTCCTATCATAAAAACTAGTTGATGTCAATTTCAGAGGATTTTTTTAAATTAACCCCTGCAAAAGAATCCCCAAAATTATCAATATCTATGACCAATACACCTGTTTTGTTTTGTTTTGTTTTTTTCGATTTTTATTTTTCAGCTTGGAATGTTTTTCCATCCTTACAAAATTTACGATGTGATGCAGAGCAGGTTAGCAAGAAAACCAACCTACCATCTGATTTGAGAACAATCGCTGCAAACAAAGGATTCTTAGTTTCTGTTAACCAAGCATCTGGGAACTGTTTATTCTATGCATTATCGGAACAATTACAAAGTGTCAACGGAATTCAAATCTCGCACAAAGAGCTAAGAAAAACCTTGGTTCAGTTCCTCGATGAGAACCCTAATCTGGTAAGTTGATGACTAATCTAACTTAGACAAAAACTATTGGCACGCGCCTTCCGTATCTGTTTGGCCGATTCCTCCCATATGATAAGGAACTGAACGTATTATGCTGTCTTCGCGAGAACTAGTGGGTCAGCTCCAGCTTCATCTTTCACCCAGCTTGTCCTATCCTTAATTACTATCCTCTTTCATACCACTGCTTACTGACCTAGAGCTGTTCCTTTGTATCATGCCAGTTATAGTCACTTCCCTTAACTCATTTCGACGTTTCTTTGCTAAACTAAATTGGATTGAACATAACAAAAAATACCTGAAGTATTATGGGATCAAGACTACTGGGAGGCTCTCTCGATCTTCTTCTCACCCTCCTCTTCGTTTTTAGTTTAAAATACTTAAAGCTTTGATGACAAACAAATACGTCATGACTTGAAATAGTCGCCTACTGTCGCCATCTAAGATTACAGGTGACCCAGGTTAATTTTTCTTTAAATTCCAGTTAACAGTATCATTTCCCCCCGAAAACTACCTCCAGAATTTGGAGAGAAACAAAAAAAATTATTTTATTTGAAATTCGCTTCCCTGCGAACCCCTGTGCCTCCCAGTAAGTGACTGGTTTAAAGGCTCCCCTCCGCCAACCACTCATTTTTAAACAAACTTTACATAAACTCTCTGGCAGGTTAAAATCACTCCACGTCCATGCCGCTTAGTCAGAAAACATTGAAATGCACTTGTTTGATGGTTTTTGTTTTTTAGCACGAAGGAACATCTCTGTTTAACTTTGTCTCGGGATACTCATCTTGGCGTGAATACTTACAAAGCATGGCGAAAGACGGTAGCTGGGGCGATCATGTGGTTTTGTTTGCTGCAGCAAATCGCTTCCAAACTCCCATCCGTATTATCAGCAGTCTTGACCATGAAATAGTTGTCCATCCAGATCATGCACTTGCCAACAGCAGCCCCCTTGTGTTGGGACACATTCACGAGTTACACTATGTTAGTCTTCAGCCCAGACAAGGTAACATGTTCTTTCCAGTCACAAACATCCTGGTTTTTTGGAATTATGTTTGCAGAATTTATATAGATATATCAGTAGCAGGGAACATTGCAAGATGATGTTAATACCGTAAATGTCTCTATGAGAATGAAGTTAAATTTTTTCTAAACAATAAAATGTCCCTACTTTATCTGAATATACTAGTTGTATAAGATGTCGTCCCATCGGATATTGTAACCTTGTAAAAATGAGCAAGCTCAAAAAACCTTCTCGTTTGTGTCCTTATCCCTGATTCCCTAGTTAAAAAGGTTTCTGTAAGAAAAAGACTTAGATAATGTTGAATTCATTGTGTGTAAGGGCAAATCTTAGAAGCAACGAACAACATATCTCAGTTATACTTAAATTGTGACTGAAATGAATTAGTAAAAGGACAGAACTTGTCTTAAATCTTTCTTCAGGATTGCAAAGGTTACTCGTCACTGTTAAAACTTTCAGTTTTCCTTGTTCCGATCCTCTCATTTGTTAGCAAGGCCTGCCAGTACTTTTTTTCCAGATCATCTATGTCCGTGATTATTGTATTAGTTGTTAGGTAGTTGCTTTTGTTTACGTGCTTGTGGCTTGAAAAGACGAAGTTTCCTTGATATAATTACCATGCAAGAAGATGAAGGAGCTTTAAAGCTGAAAGCCTATTCCAAGTACTTGTTTTAAAGTGAAAAGTAATAGTTCTGTAAGCCATAAGTTTTGTATTGACTAGTCTGCAGTAACTAAGATTAATTTTATTGCAGTTTACTTTCGTTAGCTTTCAAAGGATGATTCGGCCTCTCCATTTAAAAACCGTGACAAAGTTGACTTTTCAATTTAGCACACAATGGCTGATATATTTAGGTTTTTGCCAGCTCTATAAGTTTGATTTTTAATTTGATATAGGGCAGTTTAAATCAGAAAGCGACACGTTAGCACTTGGACGTGTCGTGTTAGACACCCCTTAAAGTGTCCATTTTAAACCGTAATTCCTGGGCAGAGAGGTACCCAGACTCTACCTCTAATTTAGTTAAAAATTGCAGAGATACACGAGAACCCTTGCGCTAGCCTGATTCCTTTACAATCTGAGATCACTCGCTCAAACTCCATCAGCTCGTTAGCTAAAACGTGATGATATCGACTATTGTACAATGAATTAGAACGTTAGTGTTGTTATTTCTGAATATTTTCGATGACTGATCATTGTGAAGAATTACAGTTATCTTATGATGACTGTTGTCATTTAATGTAGGTACTTTCTCAGTTTTAAAATCCACTTCAGGGAAAATTACTAATTATTGTCGTGTATGTCGTCCACTGATCAGAGATACATATGATAGCATAATTAAACCATAAAACCTTCGAGAATTCTTAAAGCGTGACCCGGCGCACCATAGATTGAAGTTCCTGCAAAAGGAAGGAGTCCCCAGTATTAAAACTTCAGTACACTGGGGTAAACTGTATATTGCCACACCCACTGAAGCGTCATCTGCAAGCTTTGAGTTGGATTACCAAAAACCATATCCAAAGAAAAAAGGGAAAAAATCGACGTCGCTTGTTTACGTCCTCCATAAAACGTGAAGTTTAGTATTTAGGCTTCGTCCAAACGTATCTGGATATTTTTGAATTCGAAACTTTTTCTTTCCGGGTACGGCTTCCGTCCACACGTATCCGGTGAATCCCTGCCTTTTTTAATCCGCTCTCCAGAGTGAAAATGTTTTAATACGCTATTAGTACGCAGTAGTGTGGACGCTAAATCCGGATATTTTTATCTGGTGACGTAACAAGATCGAGCCCAGTTCGTTACCGTGAAAGGCAGAGAAAGGTGAAAATTTCAAATTTGATATCAGGCACAACACCCAATTGAAAAATACAGCCAAATACACAAAATACAGTGCGGGGAAGAATAGGCGAGAACACAGCACCAAGTCCGTGATGTGAAAAGGGCTAGTACAACACAGGCAACTCTTCGAAACTTTGCCACAGTACGGCCGTCACTGCACGACTTCAACTTCAGGAGAGTATACTTGTACTGAAGCCGGTTGAAATAATTGCGATAAGGATTAAAAGAACGCAAATGCACTTTTTAAGGGATGTTTTCACCACTCTCGCCGTCGTGGTATCTTAAACTCCTACTTGAGGAATTGACTCCTGACGGGAAAAAATTACTTCCGGTCACCGTACTAGACGCTTCCCTGGCCCTTGCTTATAGCCTCTAATTATTAGGGACCTTAAGATCCGACGACGGTGACGGCAACGAGAACGTCACAAAAGCAATAGGTTTAATAACCAAAACAACAATTTTGCGCGTGCATCACGTTTTCTTGTACATTTCTTTGCCCTCACTGCACTACTACGACGTGAAAATGCCTAATTTCTTGTGTACAGAGGAAGTACGCAAGCGACTTCGAAATTTCCTCCCTCTTTCTGAACTTGGATATGGTTCTTAGGAATTCATCTTTAGGAGGGTTCGCCCACATTTCACAAAGTCAGTGACTTAAAGTAATCGCGATGAAGATTGAAAGAACGCGAATTTACTTTTTCAGCGACGTTTTTTCTGCCCATTGCCGTCCTCGGATCTTAAGGTCCCTAATAGGGGGCTTAAGGAACAACGACGTAGACGGTTACAAAAACGTCATTTAAAAAGTGAGGTCGCGCTGCTTCAAACTTTATCGCGCTTTTTCCACCTCGTTCAGTTCGTCAAATATTGGCAATTTCTGCAGGAGTTGAAGTCTAAAAGACCGTATCTAAGTTCAGGGAAAGAAAAAGGAAGTCGTTGTCTTGTGTTCATGTCCTCCAAATAACGTGAAATTCAGTAGGCATTTTCACGTTGTACTCGTGCAGTGACGGTAAGGAAATCTACAAATACGTGTGATTCACGTGCAGAGTCGTTGTTTTGCCAATCTAAACCTATTGCTTTTTTGCCGTTCTCGTTGGCGTCGTCGTCGTCGTTGCTCAAGCTCTCTAATATGCGAGAAAGAACGAGGCGCGCGACGAAATCACGCGTGTCTCCTTCGCGCGTCCCGTTCTTTCTTGCATCCACTACTTTCAAGTGCCTGCTACGCTGACTAGCTAAAATTTATGTAATTGCTTATTGTACAGTAACTTGGAATTGTGGTGTTCTATTTTTAAGTACTGTCTGAAGAATAAGGACTGTATGTAATGGTGACTCTTGTTGTTGGTTGTAGGCTCATCTTCAGTTTTAAAGTCTTCTCAAGGGGAACTCAATTATTCTCGTTTATGTCGTCTGCTTATCAGCATAGGCTCACGAGTGCTAAGAGATACATTTGATAGCATAATTCCATCGGAGAATCTTGGGGAATTCTTAAAACGTGACCCTGCGCACTCCAGACTACAGTTACTGCGAAAGAAAGGAGTCCTAACTTCAGTTTATTGGAGTAAATTGTACCCTGTCACCCCCACTGAAGTGTCATCTGCAAGCTTTGATATCTTCCTCTTGATTGTGCTTCTAAGGACAATCTGTAATCTGAGTCCTCCACCCGCTGGCTGGGACACACCTCCTCTAACAGCAGATACCAGTCGTGAGTCTGACATCGCGCGCATAAAGTACTTCATGAACACCGTGTCCAAACATGAAACGGAAGGCTCTGTAAGTGATGCTGCCTTCAGTAGCTACTGGCAGCAGACCTGTAACACACTGGTACGATTGGGTGGAGCTGAATATGAAGATCTCATTGATGAATTTAAAGACCAGGAAATTGAATTCCTCGATGTGAAACATTTCAGAGAACTTCTTAAGCAGTGGAAGAAGGTAGAAGACGACGTCAGAGACAGGCTGAATGAAGTGGAAAGTGAAGAAGCTTCTAAAGAGAAAGGTATGCTATAGTACAGTAGGCCTTGTTAGGAGATACAACCCTGCCAATTGGTAGGTTTTAAACTCTTAACACTGCGAATTTAGGGTGGTTTGGCTAACAGGGAATATACTTTATGTGTCTATGGAAAAGTTGCCGGATCCAGCAATTGCTTCCATAAAGACCTTATTTGTAATGTGTTAGACGTTCCAGCGCCTTTAAAATGTTAATTTTATATGTCAGTAACTTCAAAATTACCTATCCAGGGAATAGTCTCGTACACCTTCCATCTCTTGCCGTATTTCAAGGTCTCCTCATTTAATTCTTGACTTGTTCATGCAGATCCCCGAACGGCGAGTGGTGCTAGTGGTCCCATTGGACCTGGTGTTGATGGGCCCTCGGATCTAACCAAGCAGGCTGTTCATGACCAAGGTATACAACTACTAAGCCTGTTAATGTGGCAACTACCTACTCCCAGTGTTATCAAGGTGATAGCGTCGAATCGAAAAATATAATTACAGTCATGTGTCCGTATTATTAGAGAGATGTCTGTTTACAGGGAGTCAACTGAAAGGAGTAAAAAAGGCAGGGACGAACTCTTGGTGTCAGTTTTAGCCAGGTGCCCGTGGTATAGAAGTGTCCATAAGAGATAGTTGACTATACTCAGGAGCGTTTTTTTCATTTGGGTATAAAGAATGTGGTTATAATATGTAGTCGTGCATTGTATGGTCTAAAGGCGGGATTCCACTTCAAGCTGTAATTCTTTGATTCATTGCCTTTAGCTATTCAGCAACAAACTGTTATCTAAATTGCTCTAGTTCTGTCAAAATCACCCAGAGTTGTTTCAAAGAACGTTAATAGGAGTATAACCATCTGACATACCCTTCATACTATTAGTTTCCATTCTTATTCTAATCCATTTCATTAAACAGATTACTCAAACGCCCAGAGCTCCTCAGAAGCAAACAACAGGACTTGTCATCAGACAGAAGGCCTGACTGAGCACCATGGGGGTATTCAGCTTTAGAGACTTTAATAGATTATAATAAATGTATTTGTAAATTTACGGGAAAAAATTGTTTTACAGTTCATATCACTGTTTAATATAGTTTTAATATGAAAGTACTTCAAAGGTTATTGAGGGCATAATTATGTGTACCATAGAACGTTGAAAACAAATGTTAATCCAATGTTGAGGGAACTTGTTTTTGCTTTTCCTAGAATGGAGGTGAATTCCCCCACGACCCACTCCCCCGTAAGTTTATACAAGTAAAACTGCGAAGTTTGTTTACCGCATACATAGGTAGGCCAAACTTTTCAACGAGAAGTAGGCAGTGAAGATTTCGCTCTTCGCGTTTTTTCACCACGCCAATTTTACCCCTTCTCCCCCCTGACTTTTGAACGCTTTCCTTGCAGGCAACAGTTTTAATTTGGAGGACGTGAGAAATTTTATTAAGCAAAAGTTGACTTCCTTTACTAAGATATTGAATAACTAATGAATATAATTTAAAACAAACCAAATTAAATGCGGCTTTAATTTTTTCCTAGGTCCAAGTTTGCAGTACCCAACCGATGTGATAGAAAAGATCCGTCAGCTCTACAAAACATGTGAACGACGCCTTCTGCCCGTCCCTTGGTTAGAGGAGTTTAGCTTTCATATCAATGAAATTTTTACCAGATTAAAAATCTTGGGCAAAGAAAAAACCCAAGGAGTACTTACTGACGATATAACCAATATGACTGCCATCTTTAAGGCGCACGTAGAATGCCAAAGGCCACGAACAGTCTTGATCGAAGGAGATCCTGGTATGGGAAAAACTACGTATTGTCAAAAGCTGGCGTATGATTGGGCAACTAAGCAGAACGAATGGGACCCATCTTTTCCAGAGATTGAAGTGCTCCTGCTTCTCAAATGTCACGAAATTAAATCTAACATTTGGGAAGCTATTGATGATCAAATTCTTCCCGAGGAAATGGATGATGCAGCTAAGGAATGCTTCTTTAAATTCATACGTGAAAATCAGTCCAAGGTTCTTTTAGTTTTCGATGGACTAGACGAAGCAGATCCTAGTAACCTCAAGATGTTGTATAACCTCATTGCAGGTAAAGAACTGTCAGGTTGTTACATTGTTTTCACATCTCGTCATGAGGCTGGAAAGAATGCAAGGCGGTACTGTGACACTCTGTGGGAGATTGTAGGATTTACTCAAGAAGATGCAGAATGCTTTATTCATAAATACTTTAAAAACGTTAGAAAGGAGCACTTAGCCAGGAAACTTATAGGAAAGGTATGGCATGAGGATGGGGACCTGCAAGAATTGATAAAAAATCCCTTAAACACTGCCTTACTGTGTGTTATTTGTGAGGATTTTGAGGGCATATTTCCAACGAGAAGAACCCAATTGTACATTGAGATTGTTCTTTTTGTTTTAAGAAGATATGAACAAAAGAAAGGATTATCGAGCGAGAACGAAGACCTCTTGACCGTCTATAGAGAAGACTTATTACTTCTTGGGGAAATGGCGTTACAGTCTCTTCAAAAAAGAGAGTTGTACTTTGAAGAAAATAAATCAGGCGGTCGCTTCATCGTCTTATCCGAGTTCGGATTCCTTTCACTTCAGGCTGCTGGCAGTAAGAGGAGAGTTCGTGTGCGTTACGCATTTCTTCATAAGAGCTTTCAAGAGTTCTTTTCTGGTTTTTATCTTGCTTGCAAACTTATTGAGGGAGATATTAACTGCGAATCAGTAGTGACTGAACAAAGATATGAAGATGAACTACACCAAGTCTTTCTATTTACGATTGGAATATTAGCTTCAACGAGTGAGAAAACCGCAGACTCTTTCGTAGAAAGTATGGCTGAAAACATTAATTTAAAAAGTCTTGAGTCTTCTGGCATTTCAAAACGTCTTCTATTTGCTGTCGATTGTTTATCAGAGTACGAAAGTTTAGTTTACACCTTAGGGAGGCACCTTAATCTTACCCATTTGGATATTTCCATGAAGTATAAATTGCATAATTTTCCTGTGCCTTTTAGTGATGCTAGGGCTGCGTCTCTTTCGCAGGTTCTTGCATCCAACTCTTCAATAACTTATTTGAATTTACGTGGGAATATGATTGATGATGCTCGTGCAGCGTCTCTTTTCCAGGCTCTCGCAGAGAACTCCTCCTTAGCTGAGTTGGTTGTGAGTGGGAACACTATTAGTAAAACTGGTGCTGCGTTTCTTTCTCAGGCCCTCACAGTCAACGCCTCCCTAACTAATTTGGATTTGAGTGAGAACTACATCGGTAAATCTGGTGCTGCCTCTCTTTCCAAGGCTCTAGTAGTCAACACCTTCCTAACTAATTTGGATTTAAGTTGGAACAGAATTAGCAATTCAGGTGCTGCGTCTCTTTCCCAGGCTCTCGCAGACAACTCCTCCCTGACTAATTTGAATTTGAGTGGGAACAGTGTTGGTGAATCTGGTGCTGCATCTCTTTCCCAGGCTCTCGCACTTAACGCCTCCTTAACCAATTTGGATTTGAGTAGAAATAGCATTGGTATTACTGGTGCTGCATCTCTTACCCAGGCTCTTGCAGTCAACTCCTCCTTAACTAGTTTACATTTGCGTGGGAACAGTATTGGTGAAAGTGGTGCTGCGTCTCTTTCCCAGGCTCTTGCAGTCAACTCCTCCTTAACGAATCTGGATTTGAGTTGGAACAGTATTCGTAAAACTGGTGCTGCGTCTCTTTCCCAGGCTCTCGTAGTCAACGCCTCCTTAACTAATCTGAATTTGAGTGGGAACCATATCGGTGAAAGTGGTGCTGCTTCTCTTTCCCAGACTCTCGTAGTCAACGCCTCCCTAACTAATTTGGATTTAAGTTGGAACGAAATTAGCAATTCAGGTGCTGCATCTCTTTCCCAGGCTCTTGCAGTCAACTCTTCCTTAACTAATTTACATTTGCGTGGAAACAGTATTGGTGAAAGTGGTGCTGCGTCTCTTTCCCAGGCTCTTGCAGTCAACTCCTCCTTAACGAATCTGGATTTGAGTTGGAACAGTATTGGTGAGTCTGGTGCTTCATCTCTTTCCCAGGCTCTCGTAGTCAACGCCTCCTTAACTAATCTGAATTTGAGTGGGAACCATATCGGTGAAAGTGGTGCTGCTTCTCTTTCCCGGGCTCTCGTAGTCAACGCTTCCCTAACTAATTTGGATTTAAGTTGGAACAGAATTAGCAATTCAGGTGCTGCGTCTCTTTGCCAGGCCCTCGCAGTCAACTCCTCCGTAACTTATTTGGATTTGCGTAGAAACAGTATTGGTAATTCTGGTGCTGCATCTCTTTCCCAGGCTCTCGCAGTCAAGTCCTCCTTAACTTATTTGATTTGAGATGGAACCGAATCAGTGATTGCTGGTACTGCTTAATTGTACAATGTGTCTAAGGTAACTACAACGGTGGAATGATAAACGTGATAACTGTATTCTAATCAGGAGGAGAAAGGCGAAGATGAGTGCGTAAATATGTACTCTTAGAAGACTATTGCAGTGAAATAAAATTATAATCCTCTTATATATTACTTAGAATAATTGTTGAAATTGAAGGAAATTTAACGGAAGAGTATTGGGAGAACTATTTTTAGTGTTAGTCTCTAATAAAATCTTTATAATTGCAATGTTATTCTCCTTCATATTGCATCTGTTTTAACATAAATAGCAAAACTACTCTGTTCCGTTTGGCTTACCAAAAGGCATTTTTTTCTGACTTTGGCAATGAAAAAGGTAACAATTCTTTCACGATTTTGGATCATTTTAGGTTTCTGGGAAACTGTCCACCTACCCCTCCCCTAAGCCAACATTTTACCCGAAGTGAGAAGGGAGTGATAATGATGGCTTAGGGGAGGGGTAGGTGGACAGTTTCCCAGAAACCTAAATTGATCCAACATGGATCAATTTAGGTATTCATGCAGAATGAAATTTGATTGTTGGCATTATTTGCCATGGTATTTTGCCCGCCGACCTGTTAGCTCAGTTTGGAGAGCACCTGTCAGCACCTGCCAAGCGTGAGGTCGTGGGTTCAAACCGCCGTCGGACAAACAACTAGGGTCTTAAAAAATAAAAACTGGTGAGATCATGCTGGCTGTGATTTGAGATCTTATCTCAGTTCAGATGATCGCGTCATTGGGCGGTGACGTTATTAAGCCGTTGGCCTCGTCTCTTCCATCCTTCTTTCATTAGTCAAAATTGAAGGGGACGTAAAAGAACCCACACTACTGTTCGACGAGAGTAGGGGAACTTTCCTCGGTGGTGTGGTCTACCTTTCAAGCATCACGCATTATTTTAAAATATCATAAGCTGTGGGTGGGTTACAGTAAGCTCATAAATGGACTGATAGCGGCTGCCAGTGTACTTTGTGTGAAGTCCGAGCTTACTGTTGACATGTTAAATTTATGTTAATATGTAGAGAGCATGCTTTTTGTTGTCCTCTAATCCACGACATTACATTACATTAAATCTATCACTTCAGAATGAACAATGTGAATAACGAGCTATTTCTCAAGAATAAATTTGTGGAATAGCGTTAACCATTTTTGTTTGTCGTAAAGTATTTTTATTTGGTGGCTCAGTTTTGTGCTAAAAAAAAGTTCAAACCCTTTACCGTAACTTTGCCGTCTGCCATAAACATGTAATCGAATGGTTCAACGTAAAATTAACGATTGATATAACAACACACAACTTTATTGCATGAACAAACTTAATTAATTACACTGTCCCACAAGTAGCAAAAGCTAATCTTGGCGGAAAAGAAGAGCAACTGAGGGTTAGGGTTTAACTTTTGAAAAAATAAATATATCTGTCTGGATTTGATAAAAGGTACCTCCAGAAATTTCAAGAGCGTTTTAACAATTTGACCCTTGAGGTCAATGAAAAGCAGTTGAAAGTCGCTAGTTAGGGATTAAAACGGACGAATTAATCGCTGGCAACACACGAAAAGTTGCTCTTGGCAAAAGCGACAGATTTGTAACGAAGTGAACAACACTTAAAAGCACAGAAGTAATGACCTTTCAGTCTCTAAAACTATCAGGCTCATAGCGAGATGCCCGACTAAAACAAACGTAGAATCCACCTTTGTTGACCTCACAATCGCTTGTCCAAGACAAAATCACTTCAACTAAACACTAAAAAAGCGTTTTCATGCTTGTACACAATATTCTTATAACACGAGCGCCACCACATACCTGAAATTTGTCTGTCAACAACTTCAGGAAATCACACAATTAACCACGTCCGCGGCACTGATGAAACTTAACCTGAGATCAGGCTCTATTTTCGTTTCGCTTTGTTAATAGCATTCCGGTGGGCATGGCGAAACGAAAAGAGAGCCTGATACAAACCTTCTACGAAACGTCTGCCGCCCACTTTTTTGATTGATTGACATTTGCTGAAACAGCCAACCAAAATTACTTCCGCTGCTTGTTTTTCTAGCATGCAAATTTTTCACGCGTGGGAAAGATGCAGACTGGCTGACTTAAAAAATAGCTTTTATCTCTTAATTTTTTCAGCTAAAAATAAAACAGTCAGCACAATCACATTTAACTTCTTGCGAGATTAAGGGAGATCTCGGAGGTTATTTCTGTTGGCGTAGAAGCTAAAAACTTTTCGAAATGACGGCGACACGATGTTCTACTAGTTTTATCATTTTGGCTAGGCGCTCTCTAATTTAAAATACTCACATTTCTATTCATACCTTATTAATATTCATTAGACTTCGTGCATACTATATAAGCATGTGTTGATTATTCATAGTTGTCAGTTTGTCTAACTTTGGTTGGATTCGCACCGACTATGACCAGTACGCGTCCGTCCCAACCGAACGCTGTGGCTGAAGTGCAGGAAGTGTTACGGCCACTGGAAACTTCTTCTCGTCGCGAAACGCCGCCGTCAACGACACCTGTATTACCAGCAGAGACAGAAGCGTCCGGGAGTGGTGCAGCTTCGCAGGATATCAGTAACGCCGCGACCTCGGAGGAACAGCAGTCGTCGGAGAACCTTGAGGTAGTGTTTCCGTATAATTCCGCTTTCCTGTAGGTTTCTAGTTGTCGTTCGTTTCGAATGGCGCGTTTTTTGGTCTCTTTTCTTTTTGTGTTTTTTTTTCCCAATTGTTGGTTTTCATCGAATTTTCTAAGCGGTCTGGCTTTCCGTTATTTGGAAACACGTGTTTGGTAATTTATTCATTTGACACCTTAGTGCCAGTCAAAGGATTAATTATGTTATTCATTTAATGCACCGTCGTAGTTGTCATCTTTGTCATTTAAATCTACATGAGACTGTTTTTCTCCGTGCATCGAAGGACCGGTCGAAATAGATTCTAGTTACACAATGATTGGGAAAGTGTGAGTCGTGGACTCCTGTTATGCCACGGGGTGGCATCGGAATAGAGGAACCCGGTCGAGGACCGTGGTGTGAAAAAATGAAAAAAGGAAAAGGAAGAATGTAGGAGAAAGGAAGTCGCGGACTCCTGTTATGCCTCGGGCTGGCATGAGAATATAGGAACCCGGTCAAGGACCGTGGTGAGAAAGAATGAAAAAAGGAAAAATAAAAATAAAAAGGAAAGGAAGAATGGAGGAGAAAGGAAGTCACGGACTTCTGTTATGCCACACGGTGGCACGGGGGACGTGGCACCTGGTCGTGGACCGTGGAACTAAGAAAAGAAAAAGGGCAAATGAAGGGAGCGTGAGTCGCGGACTCCTGTTTACTCTTTTATCCTGTTAAATAGACAGAGGGAGAGGGATAAAGGGACAAGGTAAGCGGGTCGTGAATTTATGTCATGCCATGGGGCCGTGGTGTGTTCCCGGTCGAGGACCGTGGGAGGAGCGTGTCGCGAACTCTTGAGCGTTTGGCCTCGCGGGTTACTTGAGTAACGCGAAAGAAGCGCGTGCGAGGGCGTTGAAGTCGCGTGGTGCCTCGTGCTGGCGCTTGGCCGCTTGTAGGGGTTCACATGTGCTGGGGACGGGTTCGATCGGGAAATAGTTTCTAATTAGCGTCCACTTTGTTGTATGTAGGAATCGGCTACAACAGTTGGGACATCGTAGAAGGAGTTGGACGAGTGGAAAAGAAAGGTTGATTCTTCGGTGGTGGACTCGGCTTTGTCTTCGCTACAAATGGTCATCGCCCGGCCGGCGGCCTTGTTCGACCCTTACGCCGCCATTGCCGCTCTCGAGGAGGTAGTGAACGTTACGAGAGACAAGAAAGACGACAGGGCCACCCGATTTCAGATAGTCCTGAGACAGTGCCGCCCATTGGTTAACGGTTTAAACCTACAGCAGATTCTTATTAAGCTAGTGGCAACGAAGGAGGAAGCCGAGGTGGCTAAGGTTATAGCCAAAGCGACAAAGGAGCCCGCCTCAGCCTACCACGGGTCGTTCGGGGGACGGACGCGGGGAACCCCGTATTCAAGGCGTGGGACTTTCCACATAAGGCCTCCAACCGCTCCACGTTGTTGGCTGTGTGGAAAGATGGGCCACATCTCCCGTTATTGCCGAGAGAGGCGCTGATCCTGATTTTCACGTTTGTTCTGATTATTCTTTCCTGGAAGTTATTTTATATTGTTTCATTGATAATAAAGCGTTCGAGTTTGTACTTACACGTTTTCTATGTTTCTGTTAGTATTTTCCTACGAATCTGTTGTCTCGAGGTTAGAGAGGTGACCCCACAAGCGTTTTGCCTATAGGCATGCCCTTGGGCCCGATTACTCGGGTTACGGTGGTCATTCTCTCTGAACTCGGGTGCAATTTTCTGGGCGCCGGTTACTTCCCCCTTCTGATCGTTCGTTTCGATGATTTCTTTTAGCCTACGGTGAAGCGTCTAAGGGGAGAGGTATTGGCGTTTGCGCCCTTGGAAGCGGAGAAGAGGGCTGAACATAGAGAAATACGCTGGATATCCTTGGATGGAGACCCGCGTTCAGAGAGAATGACTAACAGTAAAAAGTGCCTGTCGGATATTTGTAGCATTGTTCGGGGTGAAACACCCATTTCGATGTCTGATTTGTCTTTTCGTGATCGTGATTCTTTTAAGTCTGGTGAACTCCGTACATGCATTGACCTCTGGAAGGATATTTTGGAGGGTTATGACCAGGCGGAAAA